GATTAATCATTTATGACCTATTCTTCTATCTATCTATCCATCTATCTATGTATCTACCTCTATCTGTCTAACTACCTGTCTATCTAGCTATCTATCTATATGTCTGTATCTCTACACAAACATACACATATACATATACATATTTACATCAACCCCGGTAGGTTTGCTCGGCAGCATTTGCGCCAGGCCCGCGCCCGAAACCCCTAAACCCTGAATGCCTGAAACACAGAAGTCCCTAGAGAGTTAATACAGAAACAAAAGCAGTTACGAGTATCATTCCTAAGGGTTCCTCATCGGAACTTTAACTCTAAGTAACTTTAAGGGTCCATGTGCCCAATTAGCATACACTTTGGCCTTCAACAAGTCCCTATACAGGTGCTTGAGGCGCAAAGTATGCACTTCTTGGTTACATGGACCCCGGAGGGTGCGGGGATCGTCTGTACGAAGGCCTCAAAAACCCTGAACCCATACTGACGCATTTGGGGTTTACACCTCCAGTGGACTTTCGGAAAGTGTGGGTCCCTTTTTTCAGGGGTCCTTGTTGATGGTTGTGACCCCCATGTGCTGAACTCCCCAGTTCTCTGGCCCAGGCTTGGCCCCAAACATGATCAGCTACAATGCCGTCTTGGCTGCTGTCCCCGAGTCGGAGCCACTTCGCTCTGCTAGGATTTGATTCCGGGTTTGAAAGTCTGCAGCATGGGTTGAAAAGCTCGGCAAACAAGGGCCATATTAGGGACAGACCACGGTTTAGGGTTTAGGGTTTAGGCTTGGCATTCATTATCGTAATGTGAGGGGATATGGCAGTAGATGATGCTGTTACTAGTCGGCCGAGCCAAAGAATAGGTCGAACCATGCCCGAGCCGTTGAACCCAGTCATCTTTTCGGACCCATGCAAGCAACGTAGACATTTGAGAGTTTCCGAAAATTAGGGGGTACCTTATTTGGGGGTCCTGATAATAAGGATCCTACTGTTTAGGGTACTATAATTAGGGTCCCCTATTTTCGGAAGCTCCCATTTGCGATGCAGGAGGTTGAGGGCTTAGGGCTTAGGGTTTAGGGGCCTCATTGGGTTTAGGGCTTAGGGTTTAGGGTTTAGGGTTTAGGGGCCTCATTGGGTTTAGGGCTTAGGGTTTAGGGTTTAGGGTTTAGGGGCCTCATTGGGTTTAGGGCTTAGGGTTTAGGGTTTAGGGGCCTCATTGGGTTTAGGGCTTAGGGTTTAGGGTTTAGGGTTTAGGGGCCTCATTGGGTTTAGGGCTTAGGGTTTAGGGTTTAGGGTTAGGGTGTGTCTGGCGAGGTCGCGCGCTCGGGTGTGAAGCACCCCGGGCCGCGCGCTCGCGTTGCTTGTAAACCCACCCCGGCCACCCAAACTATTCTCTGTTAGGGTTTAGGGTTTTTTTATTTGATATTTTTGCACCCATGAACGTCCCAGTTGTTGAAGTTGTGGTTTAGGCAATGGCTGGGAGTAGCCTCGGCCCTTTTCGGGCCTTCGGCATGGCAGGGCCGGCTCGGCCCTTCAAGCTTATCGTTTGACAGCTTTGAAAACCGGAAATCCAAGAAATGCTTGGGGCCTTGGAAAGGGCCTTTGGTAAGGAGCGGGTAATACAAAATCGATCATTTTCGTGCTTTTCTAGGGCTTTCACGGATTTCCGGCTTCCAAGTCCTGTAATGGGAGGAACCCCACAACAGCACCAAAATCGTCGATTTTGCAATAGCCGATCCTTTTCCGGAAGCCATTTCCAAGGCCCCTCGGATTTTGACGGTTTTCCGGCTTCCAAGCCCGAAATGGGGGGAACCCACAAAAGCATCAAAATCGCAGATTTTGCAGTACGTGCCCCTTTTCCGGAAACCATTTCCAAGGCCCCTGCGGATTTTCAGGGATTTCCGGTTTCCAAGGCCCGAAATGGGGGGAACCCTACAAAAGCACCAAAATCGTGGATTTTGCAGTACGTGCTCCTTTCCCGAAAGCCATTTCCAAGCCTCCTTGGGGGGAGGCGGGTCAGGGACAGGGCCAGCGGGCCAGGAGGCCCAGGAGGCCAGTGGGTCCAGGGGGTCCAGGAATTAGCCCAAAAAGACCAAAAAAAACAATGCCAGGACTGGTTTGGTTGATATTTTTGCACCGAACGTCCCAGTTGTTGAAGTTGTGGTTTTGGCAATGGCAGGGAGTAGCCTCGGCCCTTTTCGGGCCTTCGGCATGGCAGGGCCGGCTCGGCCCTTCAAGCTTATCGTTTGACAGCTTTGAAAACCGGAAATCCAAGAAATGCTTGGGGCCTTGGAAAGGGCCTTTGGTAAGGAGCGGGTAAGACAAAAGCGATCATTTTCGTGCTTTTCTAGGGCTTTCACGGATTTCCGGCTTCCAAGTCCTGTAATGGGAGGAACCCCACAACAGCACCAAAATCGTCGATTTTGCAATAGCCGCTCCTTTTCCGGAAGCCATTTCCAAGGCCCCTCGGATTTTGACGGTTTTCCTGCTTCCGAGCCCGAAATGGGAGAAACCCCACAAAAGCACCAAAATCGTAGATTTTGCAGTACCCGCTCCTTTTCCCGAGGCCATTTCGGATTTTCAGGGATTTCCGGTTTCCAAGGCCCGAAATGGGGGAACCCTACAAAAGCACCAAAATCGTGGATTTTGCAGTACGTGCTCCTTTCCCGAAAGCCATTTCCAAGCCTCCTTGGGGGGGAGGCGGGTCAGGGACAGGCCAAGGGGGCCAGTGGGCCTCCCAGTCCAGGGCAGAGAGGGGCAGGGCAGGCCGGCAGGCAGGGGCCTGGGCGAGGGCAAGGGAGGCCAAGGGGGCCAGCGGGCCAGGGGGCCAAGGGGTCGAGGGGGTCCAGGAATTAGCCCAAAAAGCCCAAAAAAGCAGTTTTTGGCCAGAAACCCTTCCCAGTCTGGGCAGAGAGGGGCAGGGCAGGCCGGCAGGCAGGGGCCTGGGCGAGGGCAGGGGGGTGCAGGCAGGACAGGTGCAGGATTCAGGGTCGCCCCCCCAGAGCAAATGGCACAGGCTTTGGGGTTATAATTTAACTACGTTAAGGTGGTCTGGGTACGGCCAGCCCTATTCGAGGCTGGACGTTGTCGTAAGCAAGGCCAATAGCCGTTGGCCTGTCCAGGACAGGCGGTGAGGCTTTACCCTCACCTTTCCGTCTCTCTTTTCGCATGGGTGCTCGGGCTGTAAGCCCTCGACCAGTCGTTCGGGGTCTGTCGCTCGACGGATGCGACCCCTCACTAAGTTTAGGGATTAGGGGCCTCATTGGGTTTAGGGCTTAGGGTTTAGGGTTTAGGGTTTAGGGGCCTCATTGGGTTTAGGGCTTAGGGTTTAGGGTTTAGGGTTTAGGGTTTAGGGGCCTCATTGGGTTTAGGGCTTAGGGTTTAGGGTTTAGGGTTTAGGGGCCTCATTGGGTTTAGGGCTTAGGGTTTAGGGTTTAGGGTTTAGGGGCCTCATTGGGTTTAGGGTTTAGGGTTTAGGGGCCTCATTGGGTTTAGGGCTTAGGGTTTAGGGTTTAGGGTTTAGGGGCCTCATTGGGTTTAGGGCTTAGGGTTGAGAGTTTCATCCCTCCTCAACTCACCTGGCTCAGATCCCCAGATCCCACCCCCTGACATCAGGAACCCCTTTGTATCCCCTTATCAAGACCTCGTACTGCAGTGAGTGGCCTAAAGAACTAAATACCAGTACTTTTTTGGGTGTTGTATTCTAAATTTCATGTATAGTATATGGGCCCCAAAGACCCTATTCCAATTAATAAGGCTCCTAGATTATGAACCCTAGAGCACCCTTACAAATGGAGCCCTTCCTGAGGACAGAGGCCAAGGCAGCTTGGGCGACCATCGCCCGGAAGCAGATACGGGCCCTGCCCCCGAAGACCAGCGGCATCTTTGGGAAAAATCAGAACTCCGAGCCAGGACTTGGGTTGCTATACTGTAGGAGCCTTAATAATTACCTTAAGGGGTTCCTTAAAGGGGTCGATAAGGGATCTATAGTAGGGTTCTATGATATAGGGGCCTTAGCAATTACACCTATACTATTTTGGGGGTTCCTGATTAAAGTTAAAGTACAATGGGCCCCCAAAAGCGTAATCTAAGTATTAAGGCACCTTTATTAAGGGCTGCTGTATGGGTGGGTTCTATAAGCTCAATTTCAGGGTCGCTGTAAGGCTTCCTAACTGTCACTTCCTTATAGCCTTTCTCTTGGGTTTTCAGAATCCTACGAAACCAGCGGCTAGCCTTGAATCGGCATCCCGAAGCAAGCCCCGCTAGCGCTACAGTCGGACGCAAGACTAATTTCTCCATCGCTTGCAAGCCCGAACTCATTCCTGCCGAAAGCTTCTTGGTTCTTCTGACTTCCTAACCCAATGGGTCCAAGTATCATTATGGTATATACTTAGACCCCCCAAATACCCTATAAGTATATACCATAACGATACTTGGACCCTTTGGGTAATTGTATTGGTGCTTGCTCTGATTGGGTTTGCAGTTCATTGTCTCGGAATTGTGGTGGACTTGTTGAAGGGATACAAGAGCCAGCGTTATTACACAGGAGGTATCTGGTGCTCTTTGTACCAATGCACGCCCTTCCAGATTCGCACTGGCAGCGGACAAAAAATGACGCCATGAATAGCCTTGCATTTCGGTGGTCAATTGGTTTAGGGAAGGCTTGAACGTCTTCTTAGTCCTTCCTACGGCCCTTGGCATTTTCTAGAGTCATGAGCCAGCTTTGTGGACATAACTTGAACCTAACGGCTGAGGTGTAGGGCGCTCTGGACCCACCCCCCCCAGAGAAAATACGAAATCCTAGCTGGTCCCAGCCCACCAAGGTCACCAACTACAACCCGCATCCTTCAATCCTACAGGGCCCAAAAGAGCTGAACCCCAAAGCCCTCAAGAGTCCCTGACATGAGTCTAAGCCTTTCCATGAATCCTAACTCCTAAACCTTATAAAACCCTAAACTCTTAAACGTAAAAACCCCAAACCCCAACCCCTAAACCCGATCTTCGAAAAGATTCCGGCCAGGCTCCAGCAGAGCAAAGTCGGCTTCATAGCCCCTGCTTTCCAGCTGCCTGGCTCTGGCGGATTTGAGAAACTTCAGGAGTGATCCTAAAGCGTGAATGTAGGGTTTAGGGTTTAGGGTTCAGGGTTTAGGGTTTAGGGTTTAGGGAGGGGCCTTAATTAGAATAGGGTGTTGGGGGTTCCTTGTTGTGACTATAGCATGCTACACCCCCAAACCCTACTCTCCATGATTAAGGCCCCTACATGAACCCCAAAGCCCTGAAGCCCTAACCCTGAACCTATAGTGGGGGTTTAGGGGTTTAGGGGTTTAGGGGTTTAGGGTTTAGGGTTTAGGGTTTAGGGGTTTAGGGTTTAAAGTTTAGTGTTTTAGGGTTTAGGGGTCCAGGGTTTAGGGTTGAGGGTTTAGGACCCTGAACCCTACACCCTGAGCGGATTTTTGGTGTTTGAGGAGTAGCCGAAGGCTCTTTGGACGCAGTGAGCACAACACCCTTGATTGAGGAGTAGGGTCCATGTACCCAAACCCTAAGGGTCCAAGTAGTCCTCATTTATGGCCTTTGGTACCTCAAAGGCCCTAAAGTCCCATATTAGGGAGTACTTGGATGTTCTTTGAAATGGTTTGTGATTGCTTCGGTGCCTTACTAAAGTAGTTATATAGGAACTACTTTCAGGTCGAAGCACATACTACCTAGGCGCCTGGACACTTAAGGTACTTACAGTTGGACTCAAAGCCTAAGACCACCTGGCTCCCAACCGCTGACTCTACACCCGAAGCCCAGTGCCCTACAACTTCAAGATCCTATTTACCTTCTGCGCCCCTAGGATACTGGACAACTAGGCTAAACTCTACAGCAGTGAACCTCGAACATGACAACACTTCGCTTTAAAGGCCGTTGGCCTTTCGAATTCAGAGCTCTCAGAGTATTAGGGCACTTATCCAGTCGGGCACTGCAAGGGTCCGTTTTTTCATGTATACAGGGATCTACACGCGCTTGATAGGACTGTACTTACAGGATCGGGAGATTTAGCATCATCAGGTTTAGGCAGCTTGCAACCATGCTTGCTCTGCTCCTTTTGGTGAGTGTCAATAACTGTACATAGTAATTAGCCTGAATCCTAAACCTCTGACCCTGAAACCCTGCAGCCCCAAAAGCTTACGTGCTACCTGTAGTCTCCATTGTAGTTCCTTTCTTTGGTTTAACCAACTATATAATTAGGATCCTCTAAGGTAACCTCAAAAAGGAACTACAATGGCCCTAAACCCTAAACCCTAAACCGTTACGTGCTAACCCTGGAACCTGTAGCGCGAAGGCACTCAAGCCCTAAACATAGGGTCTCGGGTGACCTCCCAGCGACGCTCTATCGTACCTGATTGAATACCCTCTAAGAAGGATCACAAATTAAGGCTCTATTGAAGGGTTACCAGGAAGTGGAAAATAAGGATCATAAATTGAGGCTTATTGAAGGGTTACCTGGAAGTGGAAAAGCCAGCTAAGAAGCTGATAAAGCATTGGATATCCCACAGCCCCCCTGTAGAGATCCTGTTCTACATAGTGACAGGCGCCTATGCCCTACCCCCGGCAATCCCTGGACACGCTACATCCTCTGTAGACACTCTGTGCGAACTCTTCTAACCCTTGTACGGACCCTAGTCAAATTATCACGAGCCCCATGAGCATGAAACCATTCAAGCTTCAATTTAGTAGTACAGTAAAACCCATAAGGTTGGAAGGCCAAATACTGCATGGATTCCCTATACATTGCTCTTAGGGATTGAGGCTACGGGGTTTCCAGGCTTCTACTGTAGCAGTAGGGTAGGTAACCTTTAACAGTTTGGGTGTACCATTATCCCTCTGCAATCCCAAAGTCTGGTTCTCCTACAGGATACTAAACCTCAAGCCCTAGCCTTAACTAACCTCCTTCATTCATCCCGCAGCTCTTAGAGTGAGGTTCCTCGGCGCCCCGCCCTCGCTGTTTGTGGGGGGCCTCAGTGTGAAAGCAATGGAGTTTGGGGCTTTAAAGGTTTATAGAGCGGTAAGCGGGCTCTACAGCCAATGTAAGTTTCTCTTGTTTGTGTTTCTGAGCTTTACTGCCATCATCGCCAAGTCCATCATGCCAAGATTCGATTCCAGAAAATATGACGAGGCTTGAGTGGGACCAGACAACCCTAAACCCTAAAGCCGCTGTGCTTCCGAAAGGTTCGCAGCGAAGTGGGAGAGTTGAGGTTGCATTTTTCCCGTACCCCAACCTTCATCACAATACCTGTGGCTACAGCGTTAGGGTTTATTTATGGGATTTAGGGGTGTAGGGTTTTAGGGTTTAGAAAGAGGGGTTTGTTCGTTTAGAGCTGGTTTTTGAGGTTTGATACATTATTTGCAATTTTCAGATATAGTCCCAATACGCTCCATATCATAACATCACCCGACATGCCTACTGTGCTTCAGACTACCATGCCGTAGGCTCTTATAACAGAGCCCAAACAGAACTTATAGGGATAATACAAAAAGCAGGTTGTGGCACTTCACGATTCTTGTTGGCTGCGGCACTTGCAGTGATAATCCTTAAATCAGATTAGGGATCCTACTATAAGTTACGGTATATTCCCTAATTAGGGGGTATCGGACGCTCTGGGAAGGCCGTTAAACTTAGTGTTTGGGGTTTAGGGTGGTCGGCCTCTGTGACACTGTGAGCAGAAAGAGGGCTCGAGGTTAAAATGTTCGGTTCGATCATCGGGATCTAATTGCGCCCAATAGGGTTGCGGGTTGGGGTTTGAGGGTTGGAAGTATAAACGATCACCACTACTGTTCCCTGGCTGTAGGGTTCCAGAATATGGTACTACCCATGGGCCCCAAAGTAGTTCCTTTTTGCGATTACCTTATAGGATTCTATGTATGAACCCCAAAAAGGAACTACTTTGGGGCCTTAGGGTATACACACGATATATCACGACGAGGCTTTGCATGCAAGTCGGTCACGACCTCCGGGCTGGCCGAAGGTTCTGCTACGGTGGATGAGATAGATCCTGCATTACCTTAATGGCCGGCCCGAAACTATGGGAATAATGGTATATTCCTTGTTATGGGTAATGCAGGATTTATATCATCAACCGTACCATGATCCTCTTCGGACTCCAGGGTCAAATGGGCCCAGGACTTGCCCAAACCCACCATTCGTAGAACTTGCCGCCGAAGCTTCAACACTAAGCTTTGCACTGAATCCCTAAACCCCAAACACCTGTAAAGCCTGAAATTTCCAAGCTTTGGGCCTCATGTAACTCTCCTCACTTTGAGGTCTGGTGTGCCCACGAGCCCGGAGACTCAGACCAAGAGACGGTGAAACACTCCGCCTTGTTTGAGGGTTTCAGCTTCCCCAAAGGCCCATAATAGGGTTCCTTTTAGGGTTCCTTTAAGTTATTAAGGGTTTAGGGTTTAGGGTTCCTTTAAGGGTTCTATAAAAGGCATTATAAGGGTTTAGGGTTTAGGGCTGACTTCGACAGTGCCGACGACCACTACAGGTAGCTACTGTCAACATGCCAGTCAGCGCGAGCTTTCTGGAAGCATGTATTCTTGTATTTAAAGACTCTGCACCGCTAGCGGCAGCCGTTAGACCATTGACGTAGATGACTTGCCTCACGCAGGCTACAGAAGTCGCGGATATGTGCTTAACTGGCTAAGGCAGAGTTCAACGTTCTGTCTGTGGGGTGCTTTGCGTTGTTCCCTTCAGCTGGCGTCTTTAGCCCAGGTTAGCCTTCACCGACGAGTTTAGCCTGAGAGCTGTGCTCGTCTGCGGTTGCTTCCTATGCTTTTGGGTCCAGGGCGAGGGTCCCACGCCTTGGCCTCTCTACTAGTGGAGGCTGTAGCATTGCAGTGCTGAGGTGCTGAGGCTCACAAAAGCACAGTAAGTTGTTGGACACTATCTGTGGACTATAAACCCCAAAGTGGGTACTATTTGTATACTTGGAGCCCGCGTGTTCGGGGTGAGGTGCAGGGTTAGGGCTTAGGGATTGAGATTTTCGGCTTTCTGGGCCTCTGTCCCTAAATCCTACACCCTAAACCTTTCTGGCGGCTCCTGTCCTCACTTTCCTGCGCCCAGTGGCTCCACTGTGGTCTATCCTTCCAGCACCACGCCGATCCGGTTGGATATTCAGGCACCGATATGAGTAGTTGTCAAAATTAAGGTCCCTATTCGGGTACCCTAAGTAATAGGTACCGTATTATAATAGGGACCCCAAAAGGGACCATAATTTTGACAACCACCGACATCGGTCTTGCCTTTGGGGTTTTGGGTTTGTGGTCTTGCCTTTGAGATTTAGGGTGTTTAGTTCTAGTTACCATAGTACTCATGCATCGTAAAGGCACTGCTGTCCTTATCTTTGCAACTTTCCGTAGCCCCTCAAAACCTTGTAGAAAACGTTGGTAGATCTGAAGGACCATTTCTAGTTCGTTGTTGTTGTTGTTGTTGTTGTTGTTGTTGTTGTTGTTGTTGTTGTTGTTGTTGTTGTTGTTGTTGTTGTTGTTCAGGTTTTGGGGATTGTAGGGCTTGCGGGTTCGGGGTTTAACTATAGTGCAGTCTCCGTCGTACTGGGTGGCTGTATAGGATTCTAATAATGTACTGTAGCTGGTTTAGCCAGGAAGGAAACTACGGTGGATGGTGTATAGGTAGGCTTTGAGAAGGCTCGAAGCTGACGTGTCTGTGGCTCCTGGTTGCCACTCTGTTGACGGATGAAGGTGATTGTTTTAGGGTTTCGGAATCCGGGTTTAAGGCCTAGGGTTTAGGGTGAGAGTTTAGCTTCGGGTTCAGGGTTTAGTGTTTCCTGTGAGTCTAAGATCTAAGAACTTAAGCTAAGATAGATGGCTGGCTTGTGGCATTTCTGACGCGTTAGGCATCCCGTCTTCGTGGAACCTCATGGTGAGAATCCCGGTTTTTAGTTTTCATGCAGTGTCTAAACTAGGGTACTCGATTCCGAAACTCCCACATGGAAAGGAGTGCAATAGTTTTGCAAAGACCCTCCAACAGCAAATCCGACAACCCTTATCAGGCTTGCAGCCCTGACCACCATAAAGAAGCTATGCAGAGCTGTTTATCTTACCCTACGGGTCCAAGTACCCAATAATCATACCTACATAACTAGTATCCTAAGCCCAAGTACCTGATTAGTGGGTCCTTTGGACCCTTGGGGTTAGACTCACAATTGGTTTGTTCTGGCTTCTTAATGTCCTTGGACCCTACCGCACCCAAGCCCAGAGGTTCTGGAAAGCCCTTTCAATCTGCAAGCCTGCGACGACGTGTAGGGTTTATAAGGGTTCAGGGCCACGCTTTTAACTCGAAGCCCCTAGCTTCCGAACCCAAGGCCTTCAACTCTACCCATAGGCCCCAAAGTAGTTCCTTTTTGTGGCTCGTATATAGAATCCTATAAGGTACCCAGAGCCTCCAATATCCTTTAATTAAGGAATATACTTTAGATTATAGTAGGATCCCTAATATGAGTTAAGGAATATTCCTTAATCAAGGGATATTGGAGTCTCTGGGTAATCCCAAAAAGGAACTACTATGGGGCCTATGGGTAGACTCTAGACGCCAGGCGCGGCAGCCTCCTTCATTCATCTACAAGCAGTTCAACGTCTCCATCACCTCTGTGGCCTCGGACTCAGACGGGGGGTTTAAGGTTTAGGGTTTAGGGTTTGGGGTTTAGGGTTTAGGGTTTAGGGTTTAGGGTTTAGGGTTTAGGGCTTAGGGTTTAGGGTTTAGGGCTTAGGGTTTAGGGTTTAGGGTTTAGGGTTTAGGGTTATAGTAATCGATACTGGTATATGGTTATAGTATAGCATAGAATGTTACGGTATATTTTGGGAGATTTAGACTGGGGGGTTCCGGGTTTAGGGCGTACGGTTTAGAGGGGCAGCTGGTTCTACGGTAGATTCTACAGCGGCTCTATGGTAGCTGGAATCTGTATACTTGCTTGTTGCCCTACGGCTGAGGAAAAAAATCTTGCATTACCCCTAATAAGAAATATACCATAATTCCCATAGTTTAGGGTCCTTAATTGCAGGATTTATATCATCCACCTAAACCCTAAAAATCCCTATAGATCCCTTAAAGGAACCCCTTAAAGGTACCCCTATAGATCCCTTTAAAGGAACCCTAGGTTTATTCCTTACTTGGAGTGTTTCTGATTCTTTCTGACAGCTACCGATGGAACTGGGAGCAGGTCTCTAGGGCCTCCTTAGCTCAGGTCGAGGTCGGGTTTAGGGTTTTAGGGGTTTAGGTTTTAGGGGTTTAGGGTTTAGGGTTTTAGGGTTTAGGGTTTTAGAGTTTAGGGTTTTAGGGTTTAGGGTTTAGGGTTTTAGGGTTTAGGGTTTTAGGGTTTAGGGTTTAGGGTTTAGGGGTTTAGGGGTTTAGGGTTTAGGGGTTTAGGGTTTAGGGGTTTAGGGTTTTAGGGTTTAGGGTTTAGGGTTTTAGGGTTTAGGGTCTAGGGTTTAGGGTTTAGGGTTTAGGGTCTTAGGGGTTAGGGTTTAGGGTTTTAGGGTTTAGGGGTTTAGGGTTTAGGGGTTTAGGGGTTTAGGGTCTAGGGTTTAGGGTTTAGGGTTTTAGGGTTTAGGGGTTTACGGTTTAGGGTCTAGGGTTTAGGGTTTAGGGTCTAGGGTTTAGGGTTTAGGGTTTTAGGGTTTAGGGGTTTAGGGTTTAGGGGTTTAGGGGTTTAGGGGGGTTTATAGGGGTTGCGGGGTTTAGTGGTTCAGGGTTTAGGGGTCTGAGAGTTTAGGGGTTGAGGGTTGAGGGTTTAGGGTTTAGGGTGCCTGTCTGGGTGTGGCTTTCGGGGTTTACGGCCCTGGGGCTGAGGAGTTTGATGTTCGGGGGCTTTGTGGCTTTGAGGCATGGAGGTTTTGGGTTTAGGGTTTAGAGTTTAGGGGTGGGGGCCCTCATAAGGCTACTAGCTACTAGAAGGCTTCACATTCTCGAAGCTGCGGAACGGTATCCCACTGTATAGGGGGCTGATTTATTGGGGTTGTGGGGTTCTGGCGTTTGATAGCCTCCGGAGCCTTCATGGCATCTGTAGCGTTGCTCTTCTTTGTATGGCTTGAGTCCAAGTGCTGAACTCGTATACACCATTCGAGTAATATAGCTAGCTGTACACCCACTTAGTCCTTGTTATTTTTCCCAACCCCAACCCTACCCACTACAAACCGATACAAGAAACTATACCCAAAGTGCGTCTTTCTGATATCCCTGTACAGTTTCACAGCCATGTTGGTCATCATGCAAAACTGTAAGACACCGAGAACCCCAGGACCTCACCCTGCAACTGGAGTTTACGCCCCTGGCCGCCACCTCGGGGGAGTAGTTCGTTGTTGGGGCGTTAAAAATAACAATAACAATAATAACATTCAGAATAAGAAAAACCTAAGAGAAGAAGAATCATTAGTGAAGAAGAAGAATAATAGTAAGCAATAGTAACACTAGCAACGATCGTAAAAGGAGTTTAGGGGTTAGGGTCAGGGTTGGGGATTCAGGTGAGTGGTTGTCAAAATTAGGGTCCTTTTTTGGGTCCTTGTTATAATACGGCACCCAATATTTAGGGAACCCAAAAAGGGACCATAATTTTGGCAACTACCCAGCTTTGGCCTCAGGGTTTGGGATTCGGAATTCAGACGTTAGGCTTGCTTGGGGACCCTAAGCCCAGAACCCATGAAGCCCAATACCGCCACAATATGGTAGTTTCCGAAAAGACGGGGCCTAATATAGCACCCTAAATAGTAGGATCCTTACTATAAAGGACCCCCAAAAGGTACCTCTAATATTCGGAAGCTCCCATATAGGGGCCTTAATAATGTCTTGATTCCATTTTAGGTAAGGTCTGGGATTGGCCAAAGTGCCACCAGGCTCGTTCGACTCGCTTCTCTGACCGACGGATGTCCGTGAACAATATAGGGGCCTTAATAAATTACCTATACGATTTGGGAGGCTCCTTATTTTGAAGAGTATAATGGGCCCCGAAACCCTTTTCTGATTATTAAGGCCCCTATATTAAGCCCGAAACCTTAAGCCGTTTTTGCGGGACTGTTTGGGCTGGAAGGTATCGGAGTTGGTTCTTTCTACTTCGTAGATTCGGACTTGAGTTGAGGGCGGTCTAGATCTAAGTTTTGGTTTGATACGGTTGATGATACAAATCCTGCATTACCCATAGTAAGGAATATACCATTATTCCCCTAGTTTAGGGTCCTTAAGGTAATGCAGGATTTATATCTTCAACCATATGGAAGCTTAAATAATTACCAATATTGCTCCTGAAGGTTCCTTACTGTAATTATACTGTAGAACAGCCAAGGCCCCGACATTAGACGGCTTCGGGTTTACAGGGTGGGGCTGCCGGACTTACTAGCAAGGTGTACAGAAGATCGGGTTCTGGGGTTCTCCGAAAAGCCAACACCCCTGTCCCGTCACATGTGTAGTATTTGGATGTCTATACCGTTCTATACATTCGAACATGTTCCTCTAGGTTTGATGTGTTCTGGTCAGAGGTGTGAACTTATAGTTTGGAGAAGAGAGGTTCGGTTGAGGGTTGAGGGAGACTTGAGAATTTCCAGGCCTGAAGTAGGTACATACGGATAGGTATTCATCCAAGGACAGCGACCTGCTGCATAGGTAACATGCTCTCTATGGACCTTCTTCAATACTGTAGAACACGATCAGTCCCGAGTATTCTCCATGGAACGCTGTTAGCACCTCATACATCAAATTCGATAGCTAGGATGCCCAGTACTACCCTTATTCCACATAAGAAGTAATTATCGCAACTAGCCTGTAAACAAAAAAAGCTCTTCGACCCGAGACTCCCTAGACAGTTTCTTAATCAAAGGGAAAAGGAGGGACCCTTAATAAGGATCCCTAGGTATATACCCTTTATATTATAGCTATTATATACCCATTAAATGGCCCATTATAGGGTAGGGGTCCCCATTGAGGGTCCCTCCTTTTCCCCTTTGAGTGAATGCTACGTTCAAGCATGTGGGCGACCCGTCAGGTGGCGGAGTTCTCTGAGCTGGACTTCCCGAGGAACTATTACGACCAGGTGCCTCTTTAGAGTTCCTTCTTATGTTTTCTATATGTAGATCCTTAAAAAGGTAGGTCTTTTCCGCTACAGGTAGTTCTTGTTGTTTAGATGTTGTTGTGGTTAAGGGGGGAAGGGGGTGGGCTGAAAGGTTCAATGTTTGGAGATTAGGCTCAAGGGCTTTTGGGCAAGGAAGTCATTTTGAGCGCAACTCCATCGCGGTTTAAGGCTTGGGGCGTTCAGATTTCCGACAAGTGGCACTGTGGGAGTTTGTTCTTTTTCAGCTGCGGAAAAAATGAGAGTGTAGCACTCGGGCTCCAGTCTGTGCGTATGGGTACTGGCAGCACAGGCCTATATGCCTGGAGCCGACCTGCCAAAAGAAATAGAGCTTGGCCTTTGCCTGCAAGGACAAAAGTGCTCAAAGGACACATCTCAGACACGGAAGTCAGGAAGCCTAAGTCCTAAGAGCCCTTATAAGCCCGAAACTCTAAACCCTATATGCCCGAAGTGCCACGATCCCCTAGACCCTCAAACCCTATAAATCCCTTATATAGATCCCTTCAAAGGAACCCTTAGGAACCCCTTAACCCTAAAACCCTATAGATCCCTTATAGATCCCTTTAAAGGAACCTCGAGGGTTCCTTTAGAGGAACCCCTGAAACCCTAAAGCGTTGAATCCTACGGTGGATGATATAAATCCTGCATTACCTTATAAGGACCCTCTCAACTATGGGAATTATGGTATGTTCCTTACTATAGGTATTGCAGGATTTATATCATCAACCTAAACCCTAAACCCTAAAACCCTATAGATCCCTTAAAGGATCCCTTAAAGGTACCCCTATAGATCCCTTTAAAGGAGCCCTAGGTTTATTCCTTATTATGGGTAATGCAGGATTTATATCATCAACCGTAAGACCGGCCCCTCCCTTCCTTTCGACTCAGGTGGAGTTCCGAGCACGGCCGTCACTTCCAGGTTGGGCTCTCTGGACCTGGAGCTGAATAAATGAATGTAATATATAATGTAGGGGCCTTGATAATTAGAGTAGGGTTTTGGGCATGAAACTGTATAGAATGAATATAATGTAGGGGCCTTGATAATTGGAGTAGGGTTTTGGGCATGAAACTGAATAAAATGAATATAATGTAGGGGCCTTGATATTTAGAGTAGGGTTATGGGCATGCAACTGAAGGAAATGAATATAATGTAGGGGCCTTAATGATTAGAGTAGGGTTTTGGGCAATATGGAGGATCGAAGGGCTCTGTAGGGGATCTAGCTATAACGGTTCTATAAGGCTTCTGCAGGGCATCTATGGCAATGTATGGGGTCTAGGCGTCAATCAGGTCTCAGTCGGAGGCTTCGGGTTTGGGCTTCTTTTGGCTCCGTGAGGTTTTGGGCTTAGACGGCTCGGGAGTTGGGGGCTTAGGGCTAAGAAGGTGCTTAGTTTGCGTTTTTGGCTTTTGAGCTGCCGGCTCTGGAAATCCCAGGGAGTGGGGGATTACAGGAAGAGATTTGAGTCCACCGCATATGGGTGGTTGTAAAAATTATGGTCCCTTTTAGGGTCCCTATTATAATACGGCAGCTAATGTTTAGGGTATCCAACAAGGGACCCTAATTTTGACAACTACCCATATAGGGATCCGATTCAAGGGCCGTGGACTGTGGAACAGTGGCAGTGACATGTCGCCCCTCGTTTTACGTGCGTCTTCCTCCAACTTCTGCTGACCAGGCTGATGTCACGATGTTTAGCAGAGGTGACCTAGGCAAAACCTACCTTAACCCTGAATAACCTACCTTTTGTAGGATTTCTTATTATGATTTCTTTATATTATAAGTCCTTAAAAATGTAGGTTCTTCGGGGTTAAGGTGTGCATCCTAAACCCGAAACCCTAAAGCTTTTCAAAAACAAGCGAGCTCCCCTGCAGCTGGGCTGAATATCGACGTGGACACCGGTGCCATCTCGGGAATTCCCATTTTGGTGCTCCCGGCTCGCTTGAAATGGGAATTTCCGATATAAAGGGGTACCTTAGGGTTCCTTTAAAGGGCTCCATAAGGGTTTTTTTAGATGGGGTCCTCATAATAATGACCCTAGTATTTAGGCTATTGTTCCAGGGTCCCCTATTTTCGGAAACTCCCAAATGCTTCCTGCCAGCTTATGGTAGGGTTTGGATCTAGGGGTGAAGGGTTTAGGGTTCAGAGGTTAATATGGGCGCCTAGACACATGAGTGGTGCTGATTCGGCTGATGGGGAAGGATCCATCACCCAAAGCTCCATTTAAGTGCCTATTTAGGGCTGTGTCGACCCCCTTGCTTTTCAATGTGCCCTAGCTCGGCTGTGCATCCAAGCGATGGTGTCTGAACGGTGATGCGTTATCCCCTACTGTTCCCAAATATCTATGTTAATTTATAGTATAAACCACCGCCTTCTTGGTCTAAGTACTCGGCACCGCTTTTTATAATGTGCAGCGTTTTTGCCGTGCGCCCTTACGCCAAACACTTGTCCGTGAACACTGCACTTGTGACAAGTTGGCAGGCTGGAAACTTCCAACGGTCGATCGTCGCCATCGCGCGAAATCCGCCTCGAGAAACTGCCGCGCAATCGCATCCACTACATTAGCTGGGTGCATACTTCAGAGGGGATATGCTTGTTTTGGATGTCAGACACGTGCGTCTGGAGATTGAAGCTTGTGAGGTTAAAAGGTCGCGGAAGTGGCACCACAATCAACAAGTTACTCGCGGAGACTAGAGATGTGTGCATGTATGTATGTATGTACATGTGCGTACAGGGTGTCTACAGCTTTAGGGGGTTGTGGGTCCCTTGCAGTCAGGAATATGGAATATTGGAGCTTCTCACCCCAAGCACCTGGACCTTGAAAGCCCTACAGTGTTTGGACAAGCTTCGAGAAGCCCCTTTGACAAGTCTCGTCAGAGTCTGTACTCCTAAGACCTAGACAAGGGACCTAGTTTATGTGAGAATATATACGTCAGAAATAGCTCTGTCTTGCTGCTTATAGCCTCCGTATAAGACAGCCACAGCGCTAGCTGCTTGTAGGCCCGTATGAAGAACCCAAAGTAGTTGGTACCCGTTGGTTCCCGAATTCAGGTACTTGTCAGGCAGGCCAGAGCCTCCCTGAGTGAAGAAGAGCAATGACAAACTACTCTGACTGGGTGTTATACAGTTTCTGTTTCTGGGTGCAGGGTGTCCCTGCATTGTGTCACCCTACAGTGCTATTTGGGTGCTCTGAAAGATTTGGGTTTAGGGCTCAGCGTTTAGGGTTTAGGGTTTGGGATTGCCGACGGTGACTGGGGGCAAGACACCCCAAAAGCCTTAAACCTCACTCACGTACTTACCAACCAGACCAGCCGACCCTATATCACAAGCCCGAGACCCCACTTAAAGCACTTGTAAAGTAGCCCCAAAATCCCAAACCCTCAGAAAGTGCTTACAACATAGACCATGCGACCCTCCCTAAACCCCAAGGTCCTGAAGTAGCCCAAGAGACTTGTGTAATTACTATGTTACACTATACTATGCTACACTATACTATGTTACATCATAGGATACTATACTATACTTTACTATGCGGTACTAGACTAGACTATACTATACTCGACTGTACTCGACTATGCTCTACTCTACTATACTATACTTTCAGGCTTCCTTCAACCTGCAGATTTTTGTGAAGGCAGCCGAGGGTCTTGGGTTTAAGGCTTCAGGGTTTTTCCCAGAGGGTTTAAATAGTTCTATGAGGTTTAGAGTTTGGGCCTGTTCAGGTGTCGTGGTGAGGGTGTAGAGTTTAGGGTTTGTGGCTATGGGGTTTGGGTGCAGGGTTCGGGGACCCCATGGTTTAGGGTTGCGTTCTTTTGGGTTGCTGAGCTCTCGTTCAGGATTTGGTGCATTGGGCCTTGGGCCTTGGGCTCTTTGGGTTGCGGATTTGAGAGACCCAGAGAAACCAATACCCCTTAATTAAGGAATATGGCTTAAACTATATCGGGCTTCTTCTTATGATTTAAGCTATATTCCTTAATTAGGGGGTAATTATTGGGCTCAGTGGGGAGTTCAGCCCAAGAGAGGAGAGAGGAATACTTGTTGCCCGAAGGCCCGAAGACCCACACTATCTGAGACCTACAACCCTTGACCATGAACCCGACTGCCCGAAACGCTTGAAGCCAAAAGAATAAATTAAACCCACAACCCGTGGTTCCTAGAAGCTAATTCTAGTATTGTCAATAGTCATCATCATCATGATAGTGAACTCCAGAAAGCTGGAACATGGCCTAAGGAGGGAGGATTAGTGGTAGGATTCCCCCTATAGATCTTACGGGAACGGGGAGAATGATGTTGCAACTTTCTGGCTTCCTCTGTTATCTCAGAACAACCCCTTAAACCCTATGTGCCGAATGTCTTTATTGGGCTTGGATGTCTGGTTCGTTTTCTGTGTGTGAGGAATATTATTGTCATGTTTTCAACTCTGCTATGTCTATTCTGCTAGCTGCTGTTACTCCCGTTTCATGCCTATAGCTAGATCTCTTGGTGTTCGTGTTGGCGGTGGTGTTTTTCGTGCTTCTCGCTGAGCGATTACCTGTCCCTTACCACTGCCGCCACCTCCACGCCGACGACTTACTGCTGCTGCTACGACACCAGCATCGCTTTCTTGTGCGCTATGGCTGTAAATCGATTGTGCCTAAAGTTTCGGGCGCAGATTATGGGCTTCAGGGTGGAGTGGTAAAAGATCGTACTGTGGAGGTCTCATACGACATGCAACCACCCTACTTACTCTAATTTATTATTCAGGCCACTATGTTGCTTGTTCTTCACGTTTCTGCAGTCAGCACCTGGCAGCTTTTGGTTGCCAGCAACGATTCAGTCAAGGACTTACGGGTCAACGGATTAACATTCGAGCCCCATCTACTAGGTAGGACTACATGGGAGTTTCGGAAAATGGAACCCCGTATAGATTTTCAGTAGTTGGACTTGGTAGAACCCTTCATTCAAGGACAACGACAAGCAGGGCGCCGGAGCCGCAAGCTTTGTCAAACTACGACATCACCCAACCAAACTCCCTAAACCCTAGACCTCCCCTACCCCGTAAACTCAAGAACCCAATCCCCCAACCCTCCAACCCCGGAACCCACAGCCCTCAACCCCAAACCTTACGCCCTGAACCCTAAATCCCAAACCCCAAACCCCAGACCCTGAACCCTAACGCCAAGCCGCAACTTCTTCAAGAGCATCGCTCATGAGCTGCCCCGTCGGATCCCTTCGCGCGCGACGCGCGGCGAATGGGCAACGAGGGAAGCCAGCATGTGGCCGAGGATCCTCAGTCCTTTTTTTGTTATGTGCATCTTTTCCAATGTAGGGTTTAGGGTTCAGGCTCAGGGCATCTTGGGATTTCGGTCTTCTTTCAATAGGGGCCTTTTCAATGTAGGGTGGAGGGTTCATGGTCGCTTGAAGCGGGTTCTTTTGGGTACCATAATAAGGGTACTGCAGGGTTTACCCATAGGCCCCAAAGTAGTTCCTTTTGGGGATTACTTTATAGAAATCTATGTATGAACCCCAATAAGGACCTACTTTGGGGCCTTAGGGTAGCGTGTAAGGGCTTATGGGCATGCAAGTGAGGGAGACTCGTGCTTCTTGGTTGAGGGATTAGAGTTTGGGATTTAGGGGTTGAGGGTTTGGGGATGAGGGTTTAGGATTTAAAGTTTACATATTGGTTTTTTTTTGCGGGGTTTAGGATTTAATGATTTAGGGGTTTAGGGTGTAGAGGTTATAGGGTTGTTGGGTTTACTAGGTAGGCCATTGGGACATTTTATATTTTCCCTTATTGGGCTTAATAGGACCCTGGGTGGTGGGCTGCGGCCTTCTCCGCTCTCAAAGCCTCGCTTTGCCTCAAGGCCCCCTTTCAAGAAGCAACCCTGCTTGGGGCTTAGGGTTAGGGTTTGGGGTTTAGGGCTTAGGGGCCCCTGACCGTAAAATTCTACTGTAGGCATCGGTTTGAGATAATGTTTAATTCCCCTTGTTATTGCGTAATAAACAGCCCTAAGCATAAATCATTTGGGGGGCTATTGACATCCATACCTAGAACTCCAAGCTGTTACCCCAATGTCTGATGCTATTCACACACGTATGCCACGTCCACAGATTTGGAAGTTTAGTGGCAAAAGTTGAATCTTCTGTAGAGAGATGCTGCAGTATGACCAAACCTTGAACCCAACACCCACTACTTAAAGGATACTTTGCAAGTAATAAGGTCGTTATTAAGGTGACTGTACTTATGGCTTAGGGTTTAGGGTTTAGGGTTTAGGGTTATCTTGATAACTATACTTATAACTACTTCCGAACCCCCAAGGCCCATGAGTCTCCAAGAATGTTTGGTGCCCCACGGTGTAGGGTTTCGGGTTTAGGGTTTAGGGTTTAGGGTCTCCCAGCTTGCTGTCAGGACCTTTGGGCCAGAGTCGCCGAATTCCTCAAGAGCAGCCAGGCAGGGCTCTCTGCTGTGCACAGCGCGAAACCCTAAACCTTGATATTATGTTATAGAGTATAGTATTGCCTATTTTTCTTATATGAGCCCTAGGCCTTAAAGCCCTAAGCCCCCAAGCCCCAACGCGGACATGGAAACAGGAGTCTTCTAAATATGGGCTGATCATGAGGACCCACTACGCGTGATCCAAATCATCTTCCCCGGAGTTAAGAAAGTGGACTGAGACTGGGGTCTTGGCGGGTTTTCTAGCGTACTTTCCATTCCAAGGGAGGTATTACTGCAGAGCATCCGGGCCCCAAGCCCTAAACCCTAACCCCTAAACCCCGAAACCCTAAACCCCTAAACCCTAAGCCCCGAAACCTTAAACCCTCAAACCCTAACCCCTAAACCCCGAAACCCTAAACCCCTGAGTATCCGAGCGCCTATTTCTTCACCCTGGTCAGGTGAGGTCGTGTCTTGCTGCACTTCGACTTCGGAGCAGCCAGCGGCCTGAAACGCAAAGAGCAGACTCCGAGGGTTTAGGGTTTAGGACTTTTAGGGTTTAGGACTTAAAGTTTCGGGTTCAGGGGTTTAGGACTTAAAGTTTCGGGTTCAGGAGTTTAGGACTTAAAGTTTCGGGTTCGGGGGTTTTGGACTTTCCATAAACCCTAAAACCGTGGAGCCTTAGGGTAGGGAGTGGATTCCCTCAACATGCTCCTGGATGTGTAGGGTTTAGTTTAAGGTTTAGGGCTTTTGTGCATCCTTTGCTTTGCTTGTGCCGGCTCCCTGACTCTCCGATGCCAACTCAACTGCCGAGATTCTTTGGATCTCACATCCCTAAGACTCCAGTTACCTAGATAGCAGGTTACTAGCCATATACTTTATACCCCCCAGTAACCTACTATTTAGACAACTGGAGCCCTAGGGCATTTCAACCCCCTAAACCTTAAACGCCCCTACCTATGATCCTCAGAGTTCAAAAGCTTCTAGGTTCCTGAGTCTTAGGGAAGTAAGCAGAACCCTACCTGTAGTCTCCATTGTAGTTCCTTTTTTGATTAACCAGTCAGTTTTATGGTTAGGATCCTATAATCGAGATTTTGGTTAAGGGAAGTAATCCAGGGTAAAAGGACGGACCCTTAATAAGGACCCCTAGGTATATGCCCTTAATATAGCTATCATATACCCATTTTATAGCCCATTACAGGGTAGGGGTCCCCATTAAGGGTCCCTTGGAAGTAGGCAAAACCCTAAACCTGAAACCCAAAAGCCTTACACAAGCGAATACCTTAACCATTGGACCCTGCTTGCAAGGTGTGCCCACATCTACGGCCGTATGTGCAAACCTTTGAGACTTGGCTTTCACAGGCGCTTGAGGAGGTGGTACGGTGGATGATATAAATCCTGCGTTACCTTAGGGACCCTAAACTATGGGAATTATGGCATATTCCTTGTTGTGGGTAATGCAGGATTTATATCATCAACCGTAGGATATTCTCGCTTTGTAAAAACTACATGCAGGTATGATAAGGAAGGGCACCTTTGGGATCCATCATGGAAGGCTTCCAGGTTCGGGATTCTGGGATTCGTTAGAATGTGACACCTTTATTAGGTTAAACTCTATAGTATTATTTAACAAGCAAGATTTGCGATACCTGCGAATTTTCGATTGTGGTAAGCCGATTAAGCGTGTCGCGAGCCCAACCCCCCCATCCCCCCCCCCCCAAACGAAACACCGATGCTCTGGTGAGAGACGCAGCGCTTGCTTAATAAGGATGAGAGGTGGCGATTTGGGATCGAACCACAACACCCTGAAGACGGTGCTTGCTAAGGGGGGATTGTTTGAAGGAATCCTACCAAAGAAGCTCATAGTACCGATACAGGGAATTCTATTCCGGTGCTAGAAGTAGTTGCCACGGGCTGGCATTTAGTAGGGTGGACAACATAAATCCTGCATTACCTTAATGGCCCGAAACTATGAGAATTATGGTAGATGCCGTATTATGGGTCATGCAGGATTTATATCATCAACCGTAGGGAACTGTTTCTGCTTCTGTGTCATCTCTCCCCTCCCGGGAATATTGAGATTGAGGACTAGTGGTTCTCTTCTTCTAAAAAGGAGCCCTTCGGGTGTTTCTCAAGAACCCCTACGGAACCTTTAAAGGACGTTTTAAGGATACCTTTATTGAAAGTTTAACGGGAAGCCTATACCATAGAACCCTAGAGTACCCTTGCAGGGAACCCTATGATCGATTTTTTTAGCACTCATTAGCGGACCTTAGAAGAGAATCCGTATCCCTAAACCCTGAACGCGAAACCCCTTAAAGGAGCCCTGGCAAGGATCCCTTTAAAGGAACCCTTGTCTACCCAGAGGCTCCATAGTAGTTCCTTTTTGGGAGTACCCTATAGGATCCCAAATATGACCCCCAAAAGGAACTACTATGGAGTCTTAAGGTAAACCCAGCCGAGGCTAGAGCGGTCACAGCTCCCACCAAGGGACGCCGTGGCCACAGAAGTGGGAGAGGCTCGGAGAGCGTGCCCGGTCGCAAATGCCAGGTTATGGAAAAGTACATTTGTAGTAATCGATATAGGTATATGGTTATAGTAATCGATATGGGTATATGGTTATAGTAATGGATATAGGTATATGGTTATAGCATAGTATAGTATCGGAATACTTTGGTAGATTAGATTGCAGTGTATCATAGCCTACCATCGCAGAATATGCTACGGGACGGTGCGGTATGCTGTGGTATGGCAGGGTATTGTATCGTATGGTGTAGTATGGTATATTACAGTACGGTATGCTATGTTTCGTTGCGTTACGATCTGCGATGTTTGGCTGTCACCTTCTACCGACTATACTAAACGACATGTTCTGCTATACTACACTTTACTCTGCTATGCTATGCTATACTTCACTGTGCTATCCTGTACTCTTCCCTGCCAAACTGTACAAAATTATGCTATACTAACTCCTACACGATATTATACTATTAGTATGTTGTACTGTATTACACTCTTTCATATCAAGTCTGGTCTGCGACTTCGGATAAACAAGGCATGGTCGGCTGATGGTCTGTTGAGTGGTGTGGGGTTACTGGGGTTTAGGATGCAGGAAGTATAGGATAGGATTTGATGTTGTCTCTTAAGGGTTTGATTCGAAAAACACCAACCTCACTTCAACGAGCAACCAAATCTCCCAGAAAGGCCTTAAGCAGGCACCCTGTTCTGAGCTTTTGTAGCAATTTTGAGCAAAAGCCTTACATATATTCCCCAAATTCTACAGCAATCCACTACATAAGCTACCAGGCGTGGGGAGCACTGACTTAAGAAGGCCTTCCCTCCAATGCAACTGTGCGACGCTTGAGGTTCTGGGCGCTGCAGGCACGGGGAAGTGGGCGAAATAATCAGATACTGCCCAGATACTACACCACGTTATTGCTATCCTGAAGCACCATTTCTAACTGTCAGCAACTCTGGACCCGTGGAATCCCCCATACAGCCTCGTGCAGCTATAGAGCCCTTGTAAAGCCCAACTATTTGATATTTACCCTAAGGGTCCTAACAAATTGGGGAACCTCAAAATTGAGGGTTTCTGAGAGCCCAAAGAGACCCAAGGACTCTCCCTAGGACATTCCGGACCCTCCTAAGGAGATACCTGGACCCTGAGGGTAGTATACGTTTTCCAGGCCCTTGAGATCGGCGTAGCTGTTGTAGAGTTGAAGCTTCACTGCTTGCGATTCTTATAGAGCTTAGGGTCCTACGCTTCTTCGGTTTAAGTGTTTGAAGTTTATCAGAGTTTTCCGAAGCAGCGATCACCCCAGCCCTGACCACCAGGCATCTTAACTTTTTCGGGTTCGGAGCTTCTCGTTTAGCCTTGTTTAGTCTCTGGAGGCGTACAGACTCATCGTGGCTCTTGGTCTCAGGTTCATCCACATTGTTTGGAACGCCAGTTTGTTATGTTTTCGATTGCTGGGGGCACTGGCCATGCCGACATCCCGCCTGCTGTGATGATTTCCGGCGATGTGACCGCCGTAGTTCGTCGCGCTCAGGGCGGTTGGGGAGAAGCCAGTCCCAAAGGCTCCATGTACCCATATAGTAGGTTAGTAGGTACTTATGCCTCAAAGTACCTCTATAGGGACCCCTGTAAGGCCTGAGTACCTACTATAAGGGTATATGGGATCTTAGGGAGTGTGCCAACAAAGCAGGGCATGTGCGCAGGGAGGGGCGTGTAGATGGGAGCCACGAAGCCATGGGGTATAACCCTAATCGACTTAACCCATAGCCTGTTTAGCCCTGAAGATGCCAGTTTTCGGTTGTTTAGGAAGCCCGATCAACGGCTGGACCGCAAATCCTGCAATACTTTCTGTATACACGAGAACCGATCGAACCTCATATCAAAACCCTGACGAATGAAATTTGATCACAACCCTATCTAAGTCCTCAACCCAGGGTTCCTGCAGTTGGAAACAGGAGCTCAAAAAAAAGTCCTCAACCCACGCCCCTGTATCCTGAACCTCGAACCCCAACCCTCCGTACAATCTTAACGCCATATACTCCTGGTGAGTTTGGGAATCGCACCATTTTGCCCTCAGTGCCGCTTCTGCGAGCGCTGCTTTCGACAGAGATCCTGCACCGAAAGCTGATTTAGAGGGCTTGACACCGGTTGATAAAGGTGATTACAGGTTTGGTACTTATTGCAGGCTTCCAAGAAGACTGCTTAACGAATTTATGAGTGTACCGGTTGATAAAGGTTCTACTACAGATTTGGTATTTGTTGTTTGTTTCTGTTGTTTGTTTCCAAGAAGACGGCTGACTGCGTGTTTGAAGTTTTGCAGGGATCTTTGGCTCATTGTTTCGCATGGGGTTAACAGGAAGGGTTCTTGACAGAACCTGGTTTGATTACATGTAACAACCGTCTGAAAACGTTCTCTACAAACTATGTGGATTCTATGAGGGTTCAACGATGGTTTAAGGGGGGGCTCTAGGCATTAGACCTTTAGAGTTCTTGTTGTCGGCCGTGATCGCATGGGTTTTCCGTTGACAGGCACTTGGCTGCCGGGTGCTTGCGCTTGGGTAGTTGAGGAAACCTGGAGGGTCCAAGTATCCAATATTTGTGCTTTAGGGTTTAGGGGTTCCTTCAAAGGGATCTATAAGGGATCTATAGGGTTTTTTGGTGGGTTTAGGGTTTAGGGTTTACAGTAAACCCCATAAAGTTGGAAACCGAATTGAGGCCAAATAGTGCTGGGATTCCCTATACGTTACTCTTAAGGATTGAGGCTATGGGGTTTCCAACTTTTTGGCTTCTACTGTAAGGCTTGAGCTTTATCGACTCTTCGTTTCGAGCAGTAGTGGCCGTGGATCAGTGCTCCGGAGCGTATACCTAAACCTCCAAAGGTAGGTAAAATAATGGTCCAAAACCTACAAAGGGCTATTATTCTACATAATTTTAGGGTCCAGGTACGAATGTTCGGCATTTGGGCAGTTGGGGAATCAGATCTTGCAGCATCAAATCCTACCCTAGCCCGCAGGATGTTCAGTGTTCAGGGCGTGCTTATGCTGAGTTTCTTCGCGGTTTGGAGTGGAAGTGACTTCGATTGCAAGTTGTGGTTTGATTCACCTGCTTCGGCTTCATAGCGATGTTCGCAAGAATTCTGAGTTTTAGGTTCAGGGCTCATAGGGCCTAGGGCCAGGGTGTGTACGACCGTTAAGGGTTTAGGGCAGTGTTCGGGGGTTCAGGGCATAGACTACGCCGTGAATTCATTGCTTGCTGTTTTGGGATAAGGAAGATGCCTCAGTCATTGGGTACAGCGTTGGACTCGGGGTACATACCCCTCCAACCCAGGCACAAGAACCCGATGCCGACAGTGCAGCTTCGCATGCAAAAACACGGTGTTCGAATGGAGTAGCAGGATGCATTGTGGTATAATTTGATAAGGACTACCTACAAGGGGAAGCGATATGGAGTCTGACATGTTCGGGTCTCGAAATCAAGCCTTCTGCCTTATGTCAGGGGACACAGCTTTCTGTTCTTAAGTGCTGTGCCTTAGGCTTTGTCTTGGAATTCGATCTCAGGTTTGGAGTTTAGGTGTATTCCCTTGAAGGGCCCGCTTGCCCGCCTAGTACATTGACCATAGAGTACTTATATGCAGCATATGTGGGATGTTTGGCATAAAGGGCTCCCTGTCAAAATTGGTGAGTGTGATTTTTGTTTCATGGGGAGTCTAGGAATGCCAGGCATGGTAGCCCCCTACATTTACGGCCAAAGCTTAGGAGAACATGAGCCCGTACAGCTCCTAACCCCAAGCCCTGTTTCCGAGGACTTCAAGCAAAGGCCGGCTGGTGTCATCTGTGGGCCCTGTTGAACCCTACTTGGAGGTTCATGGTCAGTTATAAGTACAGTTATAATTAGGATAGCTATACTTATACCCCAAATTAGGGGACTTATAACCCTACTTATAACTACCCCTGAACCTCCCGAGTGAGCCCTGTTGAACCCTATCTAGCATAGAACCCCAAAGTTGTCTGTCACAGGGTTCCTATGCCCCATGATCCAAGTTCTGAAACCATCCTCGAAACCTCCAGCCCTAAACCCGAAACTCCAGAAACCTGAACTACTAACCGCTGTTCCTTCAATGCTTCCTTTAAGGGCCCCTTTTAAGGGATCTATAGGGTTTCCGTTAAGGGTACTCTTGGGCTCTATAATCTCCGACTCCTTCAATCTGCGAGGTGCGCCCGTTCCTCCTGGGCAACAGCTGACCGTCGACCTCTGCTGCCGGTGGCAGGGCTGCAGAAGTTCGGCTTGTGTTTGATACCCATAGGCCCCAGAGTAGTTCCTTTTTGGGATTACCTTACAGGATTCTATATATATATATATATATATGTGAACCACAAAAAGGAACTACTTTGGGGCCTATGGGTATAAGACACAAGCCAAACTTGGGACTTAGTAACTAAGGTTACTATTAGGGTAACTATATTTATAGCTGCTTATAACCGCAATTAGGGTACTTATAGCCATACTTACTAAGTCCCATGATCCTCCAAGTTTGGCTTGTGTTTTATACAAGAGTTCCAACACGCGAAGGCGACAGCAGCAGTCACAAGGGTCCCACACAAGTGCTCTATACAGCTCAGGGGGCTGTGGGATATTGGACTTTGGGTGGGATGCAAGGCTTACCTGAACGGTCCCGCAACCCGGGCAGCTTTTGTGATGCGAAACCTACCCCCTCCAGCCTCGAGCCGTTTGCAAGGTGCAGCGCAGATATCATTCCAGCACCGAGGAATGCTATCAAGCTGCAACTTGGCTGGATCTACCCTAAACCCTAAACCCTAAAACCCTAAAACCCTAAACCCTAAACCCTAAACCCTGAAACCCTAAACCCTAAACCCTACAACAGCCTCAAGATGCCATGACCTGAGAACACGGAGCCATAAAGCCTCCTAATATAAGACTGGAAATTGTGTGCCACTGTGACTACGCCGTTTATCCTGAAGCCTGCCTGGGGTTTGGGGACAGCAGGCCCTACATCTTGTTGGCTGTAAACCCAATTTTTCAACTTTTTGGGGTGCTTATAAGGTAGTCGATTCTGAAAGTTTCAACTTTTGTTTCCTTGGGTTTTGGGCCAGTGAAACATAGGAGACAGGATGAAGCACAGGTATCGTAGAACTGGAGCTCCCCCATCAAAAAGCCAGGCTTCTCTAGCAACGTTCTGGCTCGACCCGATGGCTCCAAGTTTCGAAATGCGACACTTTGGGGTTTAAAGTCTATACCCAGATGCTGCATAGTAGTTCCTTCTTGGGGTTCAGTTTTCGAATCCTATAAGGTAATCCCCAAAAGGAGCTACTATCGAGAGAATGGGTAGGTTGGAGGGAGCCCCAGGGATATGCGAAACGAACGCCCAACATGACTTGCCAGCCCAGGATGCGCCGCCACGCCAAGCGGCTGCAAAAACTTACAGACTTTTTGTACCGTGGCTTCTTCTTACTTCTCGAATACGTATCTTTGTAGGTTTTAAACCCTGTAGGGTGTTGGAGGGATTGGGAGTTTGGGGGTAGCAGCGCACTCCTGCCCCAAAAGGAAAACTTTAACTGTTCCCCTCACGAGCTAGATCTGTAAGATTTCGGGGAAGATCTTGGGCCTGTAAACCCTAATTACCCTAAGGCCCCAAAGTAGTTCCTTTTTCGGGGTTCATATATAGAGTCCTGTAAGGTAATCCCAAAAAGGAACTACTTTGGGGCCTCTGCGTATAGACCCTAATTAGACCCTAATAACCCCTAAACCGTGCTTGTTGCATAGGTGCTGAAGGTTCAGTTCTTTGGAGCTTCTGGTTCTGAAGGCTTTCAGGCTCCAGGTTCAGTGGGGTCTTCAGGTTTTGGGGGGCTGAAACCTTGCACGGGTGTGTAGCAGTGTAGCAGTTAGGGCCCCTAAGCTCCAAAAGGCCCGAAATCCCACCTAAAACCCTAAAACCCTAAACCCTAAAGCTCTAAAGTCGGTGGTGCCAGGAACCCAAGTCCTGGTGGTGCTTTAGGCCTTAGCATTGGGAATTGGGGGAACGAAGCCGAACGAACCAGGCTTGCGACCGTCGAAAACGCTAAGCGGCATTGAGGACAAAGGGGTCCGCCAAACCCTAAAACCATTGAGGGTTTGGGGTTTTAGAGCTGAGCTGTCGCTTCGCTCATCACAGACATATGCCGGCGCACACTCCAGAAGCCTGTTCTCAAAATCATAAAGGCCAGACGTTACAGAATGTAGGAACCTGATTAAGAAACCCTGGCTCTGGAATCCCCAAAATGGTGGGATTCATATAAGGAACCCGAATACAGGCCCAAGGTTTCTTGATCAGGTTCCTAGGTTACCCATCCCTCTGAGGTCCTCTCGTGCACCAAAGTTTCGTGCCGGAGCCTGTCCAGAGTTGCCGAAGCCAGGTGGGCGCCTCTGGAACATGTGGGACGGTGTAGGACACGAGCAGGCATTATCCGGTTTAGGGATTCCGGCAGTAGGGTCTAGGGATTCTAAGTGTTAGACCTCTGGGACGGTGTAGGACATATCCAACATTTTTGCGAGCAGTAAAATTCTTACAGGGCACTTTTGCGGAACCCTAAACGAACCATTGTGGAACTTTGCTGCAACTCTACAAGACCCACACCCTCAACCCGAAACATGGACTCATAACCCCTGAACCCTAAACCCTAAACTTCCGAAACCTTGGCCCCACAAGACCTAGCCTCAAATCCGAAACTAGAGACGAGAAAACCTGTTTCCCCTAAAATCCATCAAGCCCGAAACCCTCGAGGCCTCAAATCCCTAAGCCCTAAACCTGAGCCCCAAACCCTTTCAATCAACCCTTTGCACGAAACGCTTGAAGTGAAATCCTTTATATAAGGGAAACCCACTAAAATATCCAAGAAAACCATTACATCCGAGATTAGAGACAAGAAACCCCTAAACTCCCTAAAAGCCCAAAACCCACCCAAAAGCCGAAACCCCCTAAAAGCCCGAAACGCCCTAAAAGCCCTATAAACCTATAAACCCCAAGAAAACCGAATTCCCGAGGCGACCTGGGCCTAGATTACGGCGGTCTCTACGCCCACCAAGGACGCTTCGAAGCCGACGAGAGAGCGTCGCTTGGCTTACCTTTGCTTAGTACTTAAAGGATCATGGGACTTAGTAACTAAGGTTACCATTGGGGTAACTAGTCTTATAACTACTTCTACCCCCTATTTAGGTACTTACAACCTTACTTACTAAGTCCCATGATCCTTCAAGTAGGGAATGGAGGAATGGGGTACAAGTGGAAGTACTATTACTACCATTCTTCCATTCCCTATTAACCAAAGGTAAGTTGAAAATGCTTTGCAGTGCTTCTTGGGTTTAGCTTTAGCGGCTTAAGGGGCTGAATTAGAGGCATTGGGGCTTAGGGTTTAGGGATATATGTGTTTGGGATTGAATTTGGGATGTTTCAGGTGTAAGTGCTTGGGGCCTAGAGGTTTGGGGATCCGAGTTTCTTGATATGGCTCTTTGAGGCTTGGGGCTTCGAGGTTGGGGTGCAGGGTTTAGCGTTTCAGAGTTTTGATAACAGGGGTTGTTTGGGGGTAAGGTTTGTCCAGAACAGAAGAGAACCCAGAACCCGGAGCCTCGCAACCCGGAGCAGCGTCCGTGAGGTATTGGCACCAGTCGAGACTTGTTGATAAGTTCCTGGAGAAGCATCTGCGGCTCGACGGAAGGTCTTCCCTAAGCGTCCATGTGCCCATATAGTAACCAGTCACTCTCACAGGTTGAGGGTTTGGAGATTAGGATACAGGGTAGCTAAGTCTTCTGGCCAAGGCTCCAGGCGTCGCTCTCTCTCTCTCTCTCTCTCTCTCTCTCTCTCTCTCTCTTTGACCGCGTGGTTCACCGATTGCAAGAACTGCGTAAGGTCTGAACCCCCTAAAGCCTGAAGCTGCGAAGCTTCATGGATTCAGTGTTGGCGCTTTGGGGGGCCCTTGGAAGCTTGCAGGGCCAGGGCCATGAAACCATCTGCTCCACCCCAAACCTTGGTGGAACCCAACCTGATAGAATGGAGTCACATTAACGAGCAAGAGCGTAGGCTTCTTGGGGAATGGCTAGTGTAGACTACCACATTCCTAGCCATCCGCCCTTCACGGCTTTCCAGGTGGACATACGTCGGAGTATGCCATCCCAGTTTGGTAGATCGCTTGCACCGCTTCGACATGCCTCTGCCCCAGGCAGGTCCCCGCGATTGCTTGGAGGGTATTTCCCATAACCCCTCTTGCTTAACCAAATGTCCATGCAGAGTAGGATAGTCTGTTGTTGGGTATGATACACACAAAACCGATGAACAAAGTCTGCACGTCTCAAGAGAAGCCGCGCAAGCACTAAACCCCACAACCTGCAGACGAAATAGGACTTGAAACGGACACCCGACATGCCAGAGCCATATTATCTGGGGATCTGTCGATGGTCCAATTTGAGTCCTACAGGGTTCTACACAGGTTTGTGGTGTTTGTTTGCAGGGGATCGTCTAGTCTTTTGCATTTTGAGTGTCTGCATTTTCGGGTTTCGGGTTTCAGGATCATAGGGTTTATGTTATAAATATTATAGGGCCTTCCGGAGCCAGGTTCGCAAGACGACTGACAACAAGGCCTGAATCCCGAAACCCAAGCCCACAACTTACTCCAAAAGCCGATGGCTGCACCAAGATTTCTCCAGATCAGAATGGGTGGTTGTCGAAATTATGCTCCCTGTTTGGGTCCCTAAGATAATACGGCACCTAATATGTAGTTTACCCAAAAAGGGACCCTAATTTTGACAACCACCCGAATAGTCATCAAGCTCAGAACTCCATAGACTTCAAGCAAGCCACTGCAGCTCCCTAAACCCTAAACCCTATCTTAAACCCTAAACCCTAAACCTTAAACCCTTAACCTTAAACCCTGAACCCTAAACCTTAAACCCTAAACCCTAAACTTTAAACCCTAAAACCTAAACCTTAAACCCTGAACCCTAAACCCTGAACCCTGCAGCTCCTACAAGACAAGGCTAACTTGAAGTCCGCCTAGGAAGCTGGGCGTGTCAGCGTTGTAGTGCCAGGGAACCGCGACCCCAAACCTGAGCTTCGTTGCTGTTTGGGATGGGTTTAGGATTCAGGGTTTCGGATTTGGGTTTAAGATTTTAAGAAATTTTGAGATTCAAAGATTTTAAGAAATTTTCAGGTTCAAATTTTAGGATTCAGTCGGATCTGAGGTTTACGGGTAAGGGGTTCCTGACTAGAGTGGTTGAGGTTGAGAATAAATCCTGGGTCTTAATTATAGGGTTTGTTATACGAGTCCTAAGACCTAAGATTTTGGAGTTATAGGGCCAGGCTCTCTTAATCAGCATCCTACGTTACAGTGAACGCATGCAGATGTTGCTTGGGCGCTCATGGGCTTTTCAGATAAGAAGAGGCCCTAACCCCTTGCGAAAACACCCCTGATCGAAAGGGTCTGTTGGCACCTTACACTACATTTCTCTGAAAATTTAGGGACGTATAACGTGACTCTTACCGACCGGGGCAGTTATTCCAAACTCCACTGCCATCAGTGCTGCAGGAAACCTTCCTGCTCCCGGGATGCAGTGTGGTGGTTTAAATACTCGGAGTGGATGGCTGAATGAGGCCTTCATAGGAAGTTGGCTTCGGTTTCCCAGGGCTCACGTTCATGTGGGGTTTGGGATTTAGGAAAGGTAGGAGATAAGATATCGGGCTTTGAGGTCTAAGGGTATAGGAATTGAGGTTTATGAAGTCTGTGGTCAGGGTTCATTGCTGTGTGTGTATTTATGTATGTGTGCAGGTTTTGCGGATCAGGAAACTTAGACCCAGCTGTTAATGGTTAAGGGTCTAGTGGTTAGGTATCTCCTGGTCTGGTGCTTGGTGCACACAGCTCCTGCTCAAAGTGTGCGCCATCCAACATAAGTTAGTAAGGGCAAGCAGCGTAGCTACACACAAACTTGGCAGATGATAGCTCGAAGTACGGCTGCACACCGCAACATACATTATTTTCATGTTGACTTGCTTTCTGGACAAAATATACCAAATCCTAATCTAGTTGTCCGAGAAACTAGGGAAACTTGCTTGTCTCTACGTTCAAAAACTAAGTGCAAGGCTTCACAGTATACCGCCTGCACCACTTCCATGGTGACAGCCTTACCCCTGACTTCTTACTCGAAACCGTGACCTTGAGACAAAAACGATGGCATCTTTCAAAGTAACGGGGCCCATGAAAAGCCTAGTTTGGATCACCAGAAAGCCCTTTCCCGAACGACCTAGAAAAAAACAACAACAGTCATCCTTCTGCAACCTCACTCCTGCATCTGCCGATGTATTCTTAATCTTGTTACCTTTGTTGTTATCATGAATTATTACTAATTACAGTATTGCTCCTACTACTGCTACTGACTACGACGACGACTCCTACTACTACTAATAGCTCCACATTGTCATTGTGATGGTGATGACTATTATGATGGTGACTGCTGTTCTTATCAGCAGTAGCATTTTTCCCAGGAGTTGTATGGCTAGTTTTGAGGGGTTCGGGTTAACATTTTATAAGGTTTAGGATTTACGGGTTGAGGGTAGGCAACCCACCCAGAATACTCTGGAAACATCCCAGGTACAGCCCATCAGAGCTGCTGACTGCCAAGCGCTATGCCGCCAAAGGCCGCTTTATCCGCACATGGGTGGTTTTCAAAAGTGCGGTCCCCTTTTAGAGCACGGCAGCTAATATTTAGGGTACCCAAAAAGGGCCATAATTTTGACAACCACCCACATGAATATTCGGATTAAGGGGTAGCCCTTACTATCCAGGCTATTCAGATAGATTGAACTGTCTCCGGGAGCCTTTGCGCTCATGGCAGTGTACACCTCTCTGCGCGTATATTAGTGGTAACAGCAGCAGCAGCAGCAGGCAGTCGCCCGGGCAACGTTGAGACTGTGATTGCTCGTGCTTCTCCATGCTTTTCGTATGCCCCTACGCCCAAGTCTTGCCCAAGTGTTGCCCTTCTTCTCACTGCAACAGGTTTGGAGCTGATGTTAACTTGAGGAGATGGGGGTTTTGAGATGTTTACCACTTGCACGTGCTGCCAGTATTTCACAGCTGCTGTTGCTAGTCTGATTGTAGCTTGCAGTAGGTTCAGTGCTCTGATTGTCGCTTAAACCTATATCTACTCGTTGATGACTACAAAGTGCAGTTGCAACTTTAATCAATCCTTCAACATCCCAAACTCCCCAAGTATCCCACTTTCCTCTGACGCGATCGTTACTTGGAGGATCCTGGGACTTAACAACTAAGTTATAAGTACCTTAATTTTAATTGGGGCTGGAAGAAATCACAAGTAGGGTTACCGTCCTTATCACCCTAGTTGCTAAGTCCTGTGATCCTTTAGGTACCATTAACTAAGCCCCGCGGACAGGGCCATCATCATCACTGAAGCCGAAACAGAGGGGCGTGAATACTTCTGCAAAGCTCAATCACAAAGTTCCCAATGAATCGAAGCCCTACTACTTCGTAGAGCATCTTTTGAGGAAAAACTGAAACAACCCTAGTCGAAAGATCTCCTAAAGGAAAATCAAGACTCCAAGTTCCGCGAAGGTGTGGTTCGCGCAAAGTGGGGTACTTCGGCCGCACTACCTAGATCGAGGATCATATCGTATCCTTCTTAGGGTACCTATAATATCAAACACATGCTTAGCGTCTGTTTTATAGAGAGTAGGTATCCTAACAGAGTCGTAGAATATTGTCCTACAGGTAGAGTGTATTTTATTCCGAGGTGCTCCTGTACTCATATTTCATATACTGTGGGTCACAAGGGTCTCGGTACATGGACACTTGGAGTAAGCGTTTTCTCTCTGATTGGGGTTTTGGTTTGGGTTCAGGAGGAGTGCCGTCGGTCTGCTGTGAAGACAGGCAGCTTGTCCCGCGCTTGCCATGAACCTTCAGAGAGGGCAGGGTGGAACGCCCCCCTCACTCCACCCCCGAAGTGTGCTTGGTTGATTGGTGTGTGCGCCCCACTCCCCTGCAACCCGACCCCCCTAGCCTCTTCCTTCCACTCTGTAGTTTCAGCCTCCACGCTTTGAGTGACGTCTTTCCAAATAAGAGCTGGTGAGAGCTACTGAAGAGGAGGCAGCTGCCTTGGCTGATGCTCATGGACAGATCCATGTGCATTGGCCAAGGCAGCAAACTCCACAGAAACCTTCCGGGGGATAAGCTGCACATGCTCTGCGTTTCAGCAAGATGCCAGCTTGCAGCCAGCGCTTGGATTGAAGCTAGCCGTCTATGATGCCTCACTCGAGATGATGATGTTGCACATCTTGCAAGGCCCCGCATTTAAAGGGATCCGATACTCCACCTGATTGATGGAGGCTGCAATGCCTTTTCAACCAGCCAAGGAGGGTGAGATATTCATCACAGGTCTGCATCAGTGATTCACGACCTGTAGCCTACAAACCTGCAATATGGTAGGTCATGGTGAACCCCAAAGTGTTAGGTAGAACCTTAAAGACAATAGGTTTTTGGATCAGCAGGGAATAAACGCAACGTGGTCGCGCGGCAGTGAAGTCACATACATGCCTAGAACTGATGTCGAATTCATGGCGGGGAAACTCAAAACAGTGAGCCCGACAACTCCTAGAGATCTCAGCCGGCTAAACCGCAAAGCCTGAGCCCTCGGTGGACCCCAATACTAGGATGCCCAGTAGTACCCTTATTCCCTTTTTGTAGTCCTAGGTTCCTTATAAAGTTACCCAATACCACAAAGAGAGGCCTTTTTATACTTAGGTTACTGGGTATCCTAGAATAGTATGCAGCATAATCGCCTTTTGTAGGTGCTGGGCCATGATTTCACAGATTTTTGTGGAACTTAGGTAAACCCAAATGGGAGTTTCCGAAAATTAGGGGTACCTTATTTGGGGGTCCTTATATTAAGGATCCTACTATCCAGGGTACTATATTAGGGTCCCCTATTTTCGGAAACTCCCAAATTTCATGCAAGGTTCTGACAGCGGCTCTCGTCTGACCAGCGCTGGGAAGACGGAACTGAGAGCGCGGCTCAATCAAGTTTCAGCTTGCATGTTGTGGTAATTAATAAGGGTTCCTTACTGTAGCTGTAGTATAACGGACCTGAGCTTTGCAAGCACAGCTGACCTGTGAGAGCTCGCAATCAGGAACATAAGACAGTATAGTTCTGCTACACAACCTTTCGTGGAGCGCTTAAAGCAGAAAGGGAGCCTCTTCCCTACAGCCTAGCATAACCATCGGTACTGTTTTCCTAAGGGAGGCTCAATCTCCACGGGCTATAGCTCTACCACTTCATTATTTTGTCTGACAGCAAGAAAATCGGCATATAAATACGCAAAAAATACTAAATGAATTATACTATACCCATAGGCTCCATAGTAGTTCCTTTTTGGGATTACCTTATAGGATTCTATATATGAACCCCAAAAAGGAATTACTTTGGAGCCTCCAGGTAAGGGCTGTAATGACAATGGGCCGGGACGCTTCCAGGTCCTTCGACTTCCGCGAATGCCTCCGCGACGTCCTTCTGACGAGGCGATCAGCCCGGAGCCGCCCCCCCCCCCCCCGAAAGCACGGAGAGCCTGAACACCAATCCCGGACTCATATTTATATATATATATATATGAAGGCCATTAAGGCTTTTGGGCCCAAAGACCATACTATACAAGGCTTTTGGGCTATGTTGGTGCCCAGGGAATGTAGTGATTCAGGGAGCACAAAGCCACAAGGAGGGATAATTATTTCTTTTATTCGTATTGGTCGCATGAGTACGAGTATAATGACATGGAGACTACAGGGGGGTACTATAAAAGCTGCTAAGCCCCGGAGCCTAGAAAAGTTCAAGCTCATAATCCGATAGAGTATTGAAACCAGGGTCTGTGTTACCAATTACAAGGCAAACTGCATCTGGCTGTAGTTCCTATCCTACCTGGCTTAACTGTATGTAGAATCATGCTATTCCGGAGGCTGCACAACGTAATGGAGACCACTCGCGCTGAGGAGGCCGTTCCCGCTCCGCCATGTCCTTTGTTTCATTTGAGGTACTGTAGGGTATGGGATGCTAGAAGGGCTCTAATTATAGTGTTTGTTTACGGAAGTGGCTACAATAGCGAGTGGGGCTTATGGTCGGGCTGTTGGGGGAATTTGAGGCTCCTTGGGAGCATGGCTGTGTGTGTGTGTGTGTGTGCGTGCGTGTTCTGGGTATAAGCTTAGGTTGCTCAACAGGAAGCAATACTCACCTGGTATGGCAATGAATCCCTGGGGCGTATATAGCGATCTAGGCCGCTCTACTTTCTCAGGGAAGGATGTGCATGGAGTTCGAGGTTTTAGGGAATTCGGGTTGTGGCGGACTCAGATGCTTCGCCGAGGTCTTTTTCAGAATGCTTTTACGTGAGTTTCTTGGGGTAAGAGAAGCCACAAGAACACCGTTGCAAACCAATCTGAAGGTAGGTTCTAGTCCTACAGTACTGCGCCGTTCCGATACACATAGCCCCGCACCCTCTTCACCATAGACTCCTAACGCAAGGGAGCCTTGGGGCCTCCTCCGGAACTAAAAAGTGTCACACTTTTCAAAAGGGGTAGAAATTTCTCCACTTGCCTGCGTAGGGCAAACTACACTTTGAGGTACTCTGCTACTCGGCAAGAGCCTGTATGCAAGATGATATACGAGTGGGTGTTCGACACTCCTCGACCCCAGTCCTAAACCCATCTGAGCTCAAAAGGCCTCAAACCCCTGAACCCATGAGGCCTAAATCCTGAACCCCAAAAGCCCTAAACCCCCCAATCCCCTAAACGCAAAGCCCCTGAAAGCCCTGAAATCTCCCCGACAGCCGCAGGTCAATCACATCCTACAAGCCGCAGACATCATGCACTACGAGTTCGAGACCTTGAACCTCTTCCTGGAGAGGCCCTGCTGGGATGGTGGGTGTGTGTGTGTGTGAGTGTGTGAGTGTGTGAGTGTGTGAGTGTGTGAGTGTGTGAGTGTGTGAGTGTGTGAGTGTGTGAGTGTGTGAGTGTGTGAGTGTGTGAGTGTGTGTGTGTGAGTGTGTGTGTGTGTGGGTGTGTGTGGGTGTGTGTGGGTGTGTGTGGGTGTGTGTGGGTGTGTGTGGGTGTGTGTGGGTGGGTGTGTGTGGGTGTGTGTGGGTGTGTGTGGGTGTCTGTGTGTGTGTCTGTGTGTGTCTGTGTGTGTGTGTGTGTGTCTGCGTGTGTGTCTGCGTGTGTGTCTGCGTGTGTCTGCGTGTGTGTGTCTGTGTCTGTGTCTGTGTCTGTGTCTGTGTCTGTCTGTGTGTGTGTGTGTGCGTGTGCGTTTTACGGGTCTCTTAGGGTTGTGTAGGGTGTCTTCGGATGTCTGCAGATTTTCGAACGGAGACCTCTGCCGACGTTATGAAGTTCTGGGAGTTTGGGGTGTGACTGCAAAACGAGACTTGTTGCGAGATGAGGCCATTGGGAGTATCAGCTAAGCGTCTGTGCCAACACTAGACTGTGAACCACGAGCAAACTCGCGCGCATGCGCTACTAAGCTACTACAATAAAGCCGTACTTGGAAACTCGAGTTCCTGGAATTCTTGGAAGCCCTTGCACCTTAAATCGAGATTTCAACCCTACCTTGTGGTGTCCGAAAGCACAAAACCTTGCAAATGCAGAAGAGACAACTCGACTCTACCAAATCGCCGCTCGAACCTCCACAAACCCGAACCGCAAACCCTACAAATCTTAGGCCCCCCACCCTAGACCCTACAAATGTCAACTCCCAAATCTTGAATCCCAATTTTTCAAGATCGAAAGGTTTGAGATCCTTAAGGCCCCAATACCTACGAACCCCAAGTCCCACACCCCAAACCCCCAAACTTCCAACCGTAAATCATTAAATCAGAACGAACCCTCCACGAATCACACTTACAAGATCTTGGGACTGAGCGGCAGGGTTATAAACATCTTCATTGCGGCATAGACAGAATCATAGTTAGCCCTATTAATAAGTGGGAATTGAAATCTGAACCCTAAACCCTGGTAGTCCCAGAAACCCTTAAAGGAAGCCTTGAAGGAACCCTTAAAGGAACCCTTGGTCCTTTAAGTTTGCAAGGCCCTCGCAGCCCTATACTAACCCTTAAAGGAACCCCCTGATCCTGTAAGTATTCGAGGCTCGAGGCGTTCCGCGCCCCGGGCTTCTTCCTGGACGTAGCCTCCCAGTGCGTCGCTGAGGCATCAGCTCAGGGGATTTGGTGTTGGCAGGGTTTGGGTCAGGGTTTTCAACCCTAAACCCCTAAACCCCTCAACCCCTAAACCCCTAAACCCTAAACCCTAAAATGCAGTCAGAGATAGAGTTTCGGTGTAGGGAGTTACAGGCTTCTGCAAGGGTTTACTCACGAAACACAGGCCTGTTTGAGGGTTTCTATAGGGTTCTATGGGGGTTTATCCCCCTACCAGTATCGCCCAAGTAGCCTGGAAGAGGTCTACAGTGCCCTTAACAGTAGGTACTCGTGGTCTAATACTGTAGCTGCGAATGTTCTATAAGCAATTCATGAGGGGTTCAGGGGTTCGGAGTTTCGGGTCTGGCTTATCAGCTCCAAGCGCTCGAACCCCTGCAGCCCAATGCAGGCCCAATCCTCAAGCCCTAAGACTATACCAAAATCTCTAAACACCTCAAACCACAAAACCTATAACCTTAAACCCCAAATCCAAAATCTCCAATGCCCCCCAAAAAAGCGCCTCCTCTGAGCTCTTGCCTGTGGAGGCGTCCCGGGCGATCAAATCTGCCCCTGGAGTACTCAAGGAGCCTTGGGTTTGATTCTTCCAGGCCTCCGAACCCTAAGGCTGCATGTACCCATATAGTATATAGGCACTGAGGCCTTAAAAGGGTCACCATATTATGGGTACTTTAAGGCCTAAGTACCTACTATATGGGTACAGGGAGCCTTTGGGGAAGCCATAAGGGCTAGAAGGGCTTAGGCGTTAGGGATTTAGGGTTTAAGGGTTTAATTTAAGGGTTTACGGTTTAAGGGTTTAGGAATTAAGGTTGAGGGTACTATACGGATACGGAAATATTCGAAGGGTACAGCAGCATAAGAGGCATCTGGGGTGGCTTGCAGGCCCCCGAGAACCTGCATTTTCGGCTTTCGGGTTGCCCCAGCCTTTCATGTCTTATAAACGCCAAGCCTTAACCTAGAACTCCAATCATCGCAAAACCTAATTCTGAGGCGCCACGCCATAGCTTCAACCGTGGCCATAAGCCTTAAATCAAGACCCTAAAGCCCGAACCGTATTCTCGAAAGTTTCGGGGACTTACGGCTGATGTCATCCGTCCTGCCCGGAAGACGAAGGCTGTGTCTGGCGAGCTCATCGTGGGGTACTGCCTGAGACATGGTTGCAGTTTGGGGCTAAGGGCCTGTGTTTCAGAGAACTTAAGTTGAGGGGCTTTAGGGGTTTGAGGTTGGGGATTTAGGTGGCTTCGGCCGGCTCTAGATCCCCAGGGACTAGTTAGTCAGGGGTCGAGATTTCAATGGACTGGTTAGTGAGTCTGTTGTTCTTCTCCTCTGTGGCCGGAGGGGCCGGAGACGGGGCGGCGAGAGAGTTGAATGTGTGTGTTGGGTACTGGGAGGAACATTTTCAGCGTACCCTGACAAAACTGAAAACGATAAAGGGCTCGTGTGCTTCAAGTGATCGTGAGACCCGGAGAAGCCCGACAGCCGAAACCCTCAGCGATTGCAACGCTCAAAATATCTGCAAAGCTCTACAAAAGTCCCACATTTCCCTAAAAGACTCTGTACACAGGTTGTGTCGGTGTCTGGCAGCTTGCGACGAGAATCAAGATAGCAGCAGTCTTCGAGTTCTGGCTCTGCTCCAAGGACCGCATTTTTCCATGTCTTCCTGGGTCGGCCCTTGATCGGCGAGATCGCTCAAGTGGAAGAGCCGACCTACCAACTCGTTCCATGTCCAGGGTTCAGCGTTTGGGGTTTAGGGTTTAGGGTTTAGGGTTTAGGGGGGGTTTAGGGTTTAGGGTTTATGTGGGGGTTTAGGGTTTAGGGTTTAGGGGTTTAGGGCGCGGTTTAGGGTTCGGGGGTGTGGCACCTGCTGTGGATTTGTGATGTGCAGGGCTTACCTGTGGCTCCCAAATTTCTTGATCGATTTTTGAGATGCAGGTTGGGTTTCGTGTTTGTTTAAGACGTGGAAGGTTTAGGATTGTTGTGAGTCAGCTTACAGGTTTCAGGGTATCGGCCTACTTTTATTGGCGAAGGAGTCTCGTTGTCAAGAGGATGCTCCGGCAAGACATTCCACTGCTCTCTTGTACCCTATATCCCACAGCATTGTAAACTAAGCCTCAGACCCAAAACTAAGCTTGGTTCAAGACTTGTGTGCATCTGGAGCTCACATTTCTGCTCAGTCTGTCTCAAGATCTGTCTGGTCCTTGTCTGTAAACTGTGAGGCTCAGCCCTCCCTGAAAGGATCTGGCGACCTGGTCAGTCAGATTATGAGTACCTCAATTGGGGTTATACCTATAAACTCAGGCCCCAAAGTTTTCCTTTTTGGGGTTCGTATATGGAATCCTATAAGGTAATCCCAAAAAGGAACTACTTTGGGGCCTTAGGGTAAGCTACCTTGTAGCTTACGACCATGCTTGCCAAGTCTCCGGTTCCTTTGAACATTCGTAGCCAGTCTCGAGGTTTACAAAATCGTTGGCCAGTTCGTCATTCGCCGCCTCGGCTTGCCGTACGTCTACGCCTGCTTGCAGGGGGAGGTGCCGCAGCCTCATCTTAAACCCTAAACCCTAAACCCTAACCCCATTTGGCCTCCTAGCCCGAAGAGACGTGAATATCTGATGCACTCTAAAGAGCTGAAGCTTCAAGTTTGTGTTTGAAGTTTTAGGTATTTGGGGTGAGTCTACGTATTGTGTAAGGGGTGCGAAACCGAGGCAAAGGGAAATCATGCAGTTTCATCCGCTGTGTCAAACTATCACAAAGCCTTTGCAGCGCTGTCTCCGGGGGGTGGTCGAGCCGCGCACGCAGGGTGAGGGCTTCAGGAAATGGGGAACGTCAGAAGCGCACTTCCTTGTTTCGGCCGCTTGTTGCTTACATCTTTCGTCGGGTTCTTCAATGACAAAGTTAGATGTTTGCTTCAAGCTAAAGCAGAAGAAGCCATCCAAAATGGACTGGGGCTGTAGTAGTCGGGTTGCCCCGGCCCCTAGCATGGTGCGTCAACTTTGCTGACTGATGATTTGCACCTTTTTCGCCTAGGGCCCTAGCCCCAATGAGGATCCAGACTCCCATCAACTGTACTACGGCTTCTGGACGTCATCAGACGGAGAGGAGCCGCCTTGAAGATCCGGTTTAGACTTCTTGGACTTATTGTTTTCTGAAGCCTTATGGGAGTTTCCGAAAATTAGGGGAACCTTGTTTTGGGGCCCCTATAGTAAGGATCCTACTATTTAGAGTACTATATTATGGTCCCCTATTTTCGGAAACTCCCTTATAGACCCCGAGCTGAGTGTATATAGGGTTTATAAGGGCTTAGCTGGGAATCGACTGACAACGCACATCCTCAGCTCAGAAGCAGCTCCGCGAACGCCTGGCGCAGCGAGGCACCCAAGGAAAACAGTCCAGGTTCAAAGGTTCAAAAATCTGCAGTTGGAGTTCAGGGACAGGATTGTCGGGGTCAAGTGATTGTTTCGTTCAAGGCATTGACCTTCGACTGCGCTATGTTGAAACATGGCAGATCGGTAGGGCTGACGGATTTGTGCCCTGTCCATAAGTCTGACAAAAGTGTCAAATCTCAAGCAGCCAAGCCAGTGGTATGGGTGATCCATCGGTTTGGAACACCGTAGTCCTTGACAGGCACATCTTTGGTGCCTAACCTTCAACTCTTACATCCTGAACCTAGTTCATCCTTAACCCCAAATAACCTACCTTTTTAAGAACTTATAAAAAGAACTCATACTAGGGAACCAAAAACGCAGGTTCCTTAGGGTCCAGGATTACAGTACCTTAACCGCTCTTAGACGCCTGCTAGGCCCTAAACCTAAACCCTCGGGCACACTAAGCCAGAGCCATGAAATCGTGAACCCTCGACCAACCTTAAAGCCTTCTTAGAGGACGGGTGCGCTACACAGGCAGGACGCTTACGAGCAGAGTTCAAAATGGTGCAGGCCTATCAGAAAATTGTATCCACCTGCTAACCCGTTTCCCTCCAGATGGAGACCCCCCTGTGGAGAGACGCCGTATAAAAATGCCCACGGATTGCCATTCAAGATCTTGCCCGGGAGGCAGCGGGGCTGCTCTGACAGCTCTCGAATACAGCTATCGCGAGCTTCTCCTGCGAATGAGGTTTAAGGGTTATAAGGGTTAAGGGTTGAGGGTTTTGAAGTGTTTGTCTTTTTCCGGATAATAGTTGTCCTTGTCTGCTTTCGGCTTGGGGGTGCAGGTTTGGGCGTCCCTGGGCCTTGGGTTTCTCATCCAGCACAGAGATGTCACCTGATCTGGCATTCTTGAACTTGTCATCTCGACTTAGGGCCAACTTGGGGCGCAGAGCCCCTGTTGTTTATTTAAGTTTAGACTTTCCGTGGCTACAACAAATGTTCTATGCAACGAAGAGCAGACGTCAAGCAAGTCCCAAGGCATGGCGATGCAGATGAGCATGAGTGTTTTAGCCCAGATTGGGGGTAAGCTTATCTGAGAAAGATGGTTTAGGGTTTAGGAGCATAACCATAGTCCATCAGACACAGATTCAGACTTGTACTCTGCTTGAAAACTCTCATGAAGCTTATCCGAATATGCCGAAATGCCACTGTTCAGGCATCTATTGACAAGGCGATAAGGGTACTGACTGGGTTCCTGCTGAGCAAGCAATCTCATTTTAAACGCAGGCAGAGAGACTGTTCAGCATCTGAGCCTGCTCAAGAGGCTTGCTCATGGAAGCTTTGCCTGTATTTAGCTGAAAATAGCCTACTTGATGATGTTTTTGGCATGACCTCCGCTGTGTGTTTTTGATGCATGCATTCGCAGCACCGTACAGTCGTGCTCTGATGGTGCGCCACTATATACTACACCGGCCCCAAATGCTCACGAAAGCCTAAACTCTAAGCCCCGTTTTACCCAACTGCAACCAGGAGAACCTGCTGATGCGCTTCGGGGTTCAGGATTGCCTAACGTGTTTGAACTTTAGAACCGCCGCTTTCTCTTGACCTCTACTCGACATCCTAACCTTCGGCAGCAAGTTCGTACTTCCCGCCATAAACTTACCTTTGGTTAGTAGGGAATGAGGAATAGGGTAAAATTTTAGCTACGATTACTACAGGTCTTCCATTCCCTGCTAACCAAAGGTAAGATAAGCCCCGAACCAAGGAGGATTTGTTGAACAAGTACCAGCAGTTCCTGTCGGTTGCCGGCCGAGAGAAGGCTGCAATTATCGAGTCGGCTGTGAAAGGTTTTAGGGTTTAGGGAGGTTTAGCGTACAGGTTGGACTCTGGTTTTCTAGGGCTTTATACAGCTTTGCCTGTTTATGTGCCTGTCGTTATGGGGGCTTGACATGCAGGGCCCCTGTTTTGGGAGCTGACCTCACAGACCGTGCGGGACCTAGCAGTTAGCGTTGATTTTGCAGCCCAGTTGATCCCATCTTAAAGCCAGTGAGGAAAAGGGGTTTAGTCGTCGGAGGTTTAGACTATTCCGCTATAGTGCTCAATTTCGGGCTTCTGGGAGAGAGAGTTCGGGCTTGGGGAGTTTAGTGCTCAGGGCAGCGACGCTTTAACATCAGAGCCTTGGGGATCCTTCACTCTTCCCCGAAGACTCAAAATGGCCCAAAAGCCTTATATAGCATGGTCTTTGGGCCCGAAAGCCTTAATATATGAGTCCTTAGAGCCTTCGGGTTCCAGTCTTGAAAGCTACCTATAGTCTCCATTGTAGTTACCTTTGTTGTTAGCAGGTTTTATGGTTAGGATCCTATACTATAAACTTGGTTAGCCAAAAGAAGGACGTAGAATGGAGACTATAGGCCGAGCAGCGAAGCTAAACTCAAGCCGGACCTGCTTACTTGGACCAAGGATGAGCCTTGTTCCCAAAGGGTCCTTGGTACTGTTATGGGGGATACTTCCCCAAACCATAATAGTAATTCCTAATAATGAAACCCTACATTCTACTATAACGGTACTTTGGACCCTTTGGGGTTGTGTATCTAGCAATTGTTTTGCTGGGCCATATGCAACATCCCGAAGGGTACATGCATATACCTTTTAAATGTATCCCTCGGCCTTAGACTACCTCTAGAGGATCCCTTATAAGGCTTCACGAGCCCTGCCCTAACCCTCTTGGGAAAATACCACAAAAGTGGGTTTTGTAGGGCCGAGATGGGCCCTGAACTGTACGATCTGCCCCAGAACTCGGGGCTCTCCTAGAGTCCCAACCTTCGGCACGCGGTTTAGGATTTAGGGTTTAAGGTTTAGGGAGTGACTTGACTACATACACTGTGTGAAGTACCTATAGTCTCCATTGTAGTTCCCTTTTTGGTTAACCAAAATCTCTAGTATAGGATCCTAACCATAAAGCCGGTTAACCAAAAAAATGAACTACAATGGAGACTATAGGTAAGGTTGCACTTGCAACTGAAGGGACTGCTTCGTTGCTGCGACTTGTGTCAGCAAAACCCTCCCCAGAATCCCCCAGCCCCCACCTCCCAACCCCCGGCGCCCCGTAGTTCAGGAAACCTGAAATCTTTGTCCGAAAAGCAACTGCGATTCACAGGCTCGCTCAGCCTGCGGCTACGACGGGTTGCGACTCAGCCCGTGATGTAATGTGAGGTTCAGGATTCCGAGCATTTGGCCATGACAGAAGAAAACTGTGCACCCAAAGGCCAAAACCGTTGTTGGAGGTCTAGGGTCTGTGGTTCGACTGCTGGGGGAGGGCATCCTTTCTGAATAAGGCATGGTGCATGGTGGGTATGACGATCGGTGTATGGAGCACATGGCATTGCAGGATCATCCGCTTCTTCTTAAAGGCTCTTCGAATACAACCTGGGCGTGCTGTAGCCGAGAGTCGGCAATACCTGTCGCACGCCAGTTCCATTTTTAAGCAACCCTCCTTTAATTATATCGGGACTACTTTAAAGGCCAAAGTATGTACGGTTTGAATGGGAACATGAACACTAAAGTCTTATCGAACCCCTACAGTAACCCTCAATTAGAACTGCTGGGGATCCCTTAAAGGAACCCCTTAAGGATCCCTTACAGGAGCCCTTAAAGGAACCCCCTTAAAGGTACGTGTGCCCTGAGGATTTGGCCTTGTAGGGCATGTTACAGAAGCTCAGGAGCCTCCTCCGCGTCTGGTGTGGAGATCCCGAGGTGGAGGGGGCTCTTTGAAGGGTCCTTGCTTTCGCTTTAGGGTTTAAGGTTTGAGAAGTGTCGATGTTTAGGTTTTGGTCGTGATTTGCTGATGTTCTTGGTTTGGACAAGCTTGTTCGATTCTAGGAAAGGTTTAGTCGCTGACCCCGACTTCTTGGCAAGTTTGAAGTAAGTAGCTCCAAAAGTAACCCACAGCAACCTGGCAAGTTCAGTTTATAAAAAACTTATAATAAAATCCGTTTGAGAATCCTATGGTAGCCCAAACCCCAAAGCAACCTCACCAATCCCCAAAGTTCTTGCCAGTTCTGCAGGTCTTGCAAACCATGGCGAGCTCTGTGAAGGCTCCCTTTGCAGAGACCTGGCTGACTAATCCTTTCCCGAAAAGTCCGGAGATCCTAATAAACAGGTATAGGGTTTAGGGTTTAGGGTATTAGTGCTCAGAAACAGGGATCTAGGGTCTAGGTAGATGTGCTCAGGATTGAAGCGGGGATGTAGGGTCTAGGGTTTTGGGGACCAAAATCTCTATTATAGGATCCTAACCATAAAGCCGGTTCACCAAAAAAAGGACCTACAATGGAGACTATAGGTAGACCCTTATAGAGCCCTGATTATAGTAACCCTTATAGTAACCCATACTTAAAGGATCCCCTAAACCTTAAACCCCCTTAAAGGATCCCCAAGGGTTTTGGGGTTATGGGGGTCGGGTTACGCTACTCCGACTGTTCAGCCTTGGGCCTCAGATGCTAAGAGCTTTTTGCGGGGACATTAGGGTGCTTTCGGTTGATGATATAAATCCCTAGGTTCCTTTAAAGGGATCTATAAGGGGTTCCTTTAAGGGTTTAGGGTCTAGATTGATGGTAAAAATCCTGCATTACCTTAAGGACCCTAAACTATGGGAATTGTGGGTATATTCCTTATTATGGGTAATGCAGGATTTAGAACATCAATCGTTTGGGATTCCTGGCCCATGGATTTGATCGGCTTAGGATCAAAGGGACTTAGGAGCTTTTCCAGGATTTCGGGTGTTTGGTAGTTTTGGTGCACATGGGTATTGGAGAGACTTGGCAGACTAGGGGATGGATAGATTTAGGAAGTTATAGGGTTTTAGGGTCATTGGGGGTGGTGCCTGATCGGGCTTTGCCGGCTGTATGGCCTTCGGGATCTTTGAACACGGCCACTACTGTCAAAATCATTTTTGCACCCATCATTGCCGCCACAGTGGCTGCTGGTGCTTATGCAGCAGATTTTTTGTGCTGGCGGCTCAAAAAGAAACCCCGGCGAGCACAACAGCCACAAATAATACTTGCACATACATCAGTATCGGTGCTAGTACGGCATGCTACCTTGACTTGTTGGATGCCACCAGTTGATTGCCAACACCACTGGTTTCTCTTCTTGATGTAGCTGTCAGCCTAGTTTATGTTTATGGATCTTGCTTCTTCAGAGTGAACGGGTTATGTTGCTATGGTCTTGGCTGTTCCGGTTGGCGAGTTCGTGGTTGATTGTTCAGGGTGGAGAGTTCGTGGTTGATGGTTCAAGGTCGAAAGCTTGCAGATAAGTTGAGGAGCGAAGTGGCAGCACTTTTGATTGGTCACCTGTGTTTTTAGATTGTTTCAAGGGCATACGAAGACTTACAAGCCCGAAGTGCGATAGGCACATGCAGAGTTTAGCAAGCCCTCACAAGGAAGCTGCTGTCATCTGCCGGCAGGACACCATGCAACAGGTATGTCTAGAAGCACGGGTCCAGGGGTTAGAGTTCCCGGGCAGCATTCGAGTTCCTAAATAAACTTGAAGTCCCTGAACCTGTGGTAGTCCAAGCCTTAGCCGTAGCCCAGAGCTTTAACTTCAGCGGAACTCCCGGGCTTTGAGAGTTTATGGGCTTGAGTTTTCGGAGTTTTCGGGTGTAGGGGCTGTCGGGTTCGCCACGGGGCCAAACGACACACGAAGCCATACACGGGCTCTTGTACAGCAGGTTGGCGCAACAAGAGTGCTTTTCAGGGGGTGCCACTGTTTGCAGTACAACATGCTTTCCCCTTTCTGAAATAATGTAGTTTGCACCCGGTCAGCCACTACTGTACACGTGAGTCAGCCCTGCCTAGGAGAGTTCATCAAGAACTTCAGAAACCTGAGACATCTTCGAAAGCTCGCACGAACGCGCAACAGTACAACGACCATACACCCACCAGTGTTCCGAGGAAATCCTTGTCTACCAGGTTCCTACCATAAACTCACTTTATGTCACCACTGCAAGCTGCAGGGCTAAAGGTATGCTAAAGGTCACCAGTTCTGACTCACTTCAAGCCTTAAGCCTAAGCCTTAGATATCTGAAACCCCGATCTTACAGCCTTAGATCCTGTGTCTGGCGCCCAGGAAGTTCCGAATAAGACATTGCACACCCGGCACCGGTACAGATTACATACACTTTCATCCCACTGGCAAGGCCGAGTAACGCTGATAAACGCCACAGCTTCACAGGAATACATATATGATAGATGCCCCCCCTGAGCGCCGTAAGAGATCTTTCAGACCGTGACAAATCCTAAACCCTAAACCCTAAACTTTAACTCCAAACCCCAACCCTGAACCCCAAATAGATCGCGAAGCCTAAACCAGGAACCCAAGGCCCCATGTTCACAACACCCGAAGAGAGGAGTTCTACAAGATCGTGTTCGACCTCAGCGTCGTGGATCCCAACCGTGCCACGCTGGTGCAGCGAATGAAGGCTCTGTGGTCAAGAAGATAGGCAGAGGGTCGCCTTATTGTTTGTAGAGTTCAAGTTTGCACAAGAAACCGTAGTATTGGAAAGAACGACATGGTTACTGCCAGCGGCATCAGTAGCATCGGCAGAGACAGCGACACTTATGACTTCAGCAAAAGCAGTACGAGTCAGACCCATAGGCATCAGTTCCAACTAAAGCGAAGCCAGACAAATGACTAGAAAATGAATGGCTCTTTGCTAATGGTGTTGATGGTGGGTCCCTTTGGAGATGTTGGTTGGGACTAGGGCTTGAACAAGGTTTGGGGTTCGGGGATGCGGCTCCCTGTTTTCTGTCGTAGAGTATTCATAAGCATTTGAGAAGTGTCGAACCAGGTTCCTGTTTCAGGACCTCTTTGAGAGAGGAGGTCACAGGTCACGAGGGTCCACGTACCCAAACAGTATATTGGGTACATGGACCCTTAAGCCTAAACCCTTATAGAACTTTTACAGGAACCCTTAACTTAGGGGTACTTAGAAAGAATTCTTAATTTTTGCTCATTATAATCCCTAAGAAACAGCTGAAATTGTAATTTTCGCTAGGGTTCTAAGTTCAGTATGGTTAAAGGAGCCCTTACTTGAGTACATGGACCCTTGGGCCACAAGGAACTTGAAGCAGCGAGTCCTCCGAGCACAATCCCAGAGAGACAATACCCCCTGATTACGGAATATAGCTTAAATCATAGAAAGAAGCCCTATATAACTTAAGCCATATTCCTTAATTAAGGGGTATGGGGCTCTCTAGGATCCCCTAGGTCTCCCAGCGGGCCCGTGTTCCGTTTCTGTGGGCCATAGGTTCCTTGTAACACTAGCCGATTCCATCAAGGGAGCCCTTTCTCTTCGTAGGGTTACTGCGGATCATGGTCCCCATGGAAAGCACAGAGACAAAACTTTCCGAAATCGCAGACGATCTTCTGTGCGGCGACAGGTAAGTTCTAGCCAGGCTCTCCTCCTGAATCCCCCGGCGCCAAACCCCAGACTCCATCCCTAAACCCCTGACGCCGACACCCGGAACCTGGACCCCCGTTTTGAACTCGAACTGAATGTAGCCTCGGAAGCCTGGAGTAGTAAGATCACCATAGTCAGAAATCCAAGCCCGAAGCTATGAAAACGAATCAACTCTGAACCCTAAACCCTGAACCCCTGAAGGCCTAACACCGTGAACTCTGAGAACCAGTCCCTCGCCCCTAAACCCTAAACCCTACACCCCTGGCCCTAACCCTAACCACCGAAATCCTTAGCCGTAGACCCCTCGCCCTATCCACTGAAATCCTAAGCCCTATAAACCCTAAACGAATGCTTCAAACAGGAGCAGTTCATCCAGCCGAGTGAGCCGACCGGAACACCGCAACTCGGAGGAAAACATTGCTTCCTATTTAGGGCTTAGGGCTTATATATAGGGTTTTGGGTTTAGGAAAACATTGCGTCTGCAGGGACTCCAAAATCCCTTGTTTAAGCTATAAACCCTAAATTACATATAGTAGGATCCCAACATGATTCAAAGAATATCTCTTAATGCAGGGATATTGGAGTCTCTGTGTCATAGGCCTGCAGGGAACCCCAACATCCAAGTCCTAATTATCATGTACTCCCCAAAATACTGCTGATGGACAAAATCCTGCATGACCAAGGAATATACCGTAGTTCCCATAGTTTAAAGTCCTTAGGGTCATGCAGGATTTTGTCCATCAGCCGTAGTAACCTACACAACTGCTATCCGAAACCCAAGTACCTAATTGTTGGATCCTTTGGACCCTTGGGGAAGGTTGTAGGGTTTAGGGTAATTACAGGGTTTGGGGTTTAGGGCACAGCGTTTGGGTTTAGGGTGCAGCATACGTACAGGGTTTCGGGTCTACTGTTATGGGGTCTCGCCTAGGGTGTGGGACGGTGTTTAGCGCAGTTTAGGATATAGTGTCTAGGGGAGTGCTGTTTCCTACATATGTTGAGACTTTTCTATGGAATATGAAAACGAGGAACAGGGAGCGCTTGTTTGTACGGGGATGGCAGGGGACCAAGGTGCAAGATTTATGCGTTCAAGGCATCATATGGCATTGGGTTGGGCGGGCCGTGCATAACGAAGCTGTCCTCGCACATGACCCTTTGGAAGCAGAGGCTCTAATCCAGCAAGGGTCTGTTCAGCAGGTTCCATGCACGGTTTGGGGGTCGGGGTGCAGTGGAGGGCTTGCTGGGTTTTGCGCCTGGGGTCTGGGCTTTGGGGCATATCGTAGTGCCCATTGATTGCAGCTCCTTCGAATCATGGAAAGACGCTCTCCCTCATTTAAGGTCTACTCAGTTTATTCCTTGTCTGTATCCATACTGTTGATGATATAAATCCTGCATTATAAGGACCCTAAACTATGGGAATTATGCTATATTCCTTATTATGGTTAATGCAGGATTTATATCATCAACCGTAGCTCCACAAGCTCTTTAGAGTAGCAGAGGCCCTAAAGCTCCACGATGAGAAAAGTGCTCATACTGCCCTGAAAGAAGCCGTAAACAGCCAAGGGAACCCCGAATGTAGAGGGCTAGAAGAGCCCTTGTACAGCTTCGTAGAACTCGAGTAGAATTAGTGCAGGCTGTTTGCCAAGAGCGCTTATAGGCTCTTCGGCTACCTAGGCTCCACTCGAAGCTTGGAACTCTGAGCCCAAGGAACATCAACCTCATGTCCTTGGCGCTCCTCAACCCGCTTGAGTTCCACAAGGAGCAGAGCCAGCGCAACTTTGGCAGAGCTAAGGAGAGGCAGAGGTCCTTAGAACAATCAGAATGAGTAGGATACTGCTGATGGACAAAATCCTGCATGACCCTAAGGACTCTAAACTATGGGAACTATGGTATATACCTTATTATGGGTCATGCAGGATTTTGTCCATCAGCAGTAGTACCCAACCTACTGGCAGTACTGCTAATCACAAGCTTTGAGGGGTTTGGGAATGTGTTATGATTTCAGCTCTGTAGGGCCTTAAGGGTTTGTCGCATTTGAGAGCTACGGCCCGAAGTGCCTGCCATTTCGGGTGGGGGTGGGGTTGGGCGGGGGTGGGTATTTGCCCTGTGAGTATGTGAGGGGTAAAGGCCTACCATGTTTGAGGGTTTGGTCTCACAGCTGCTTTGTTAGAAATGTGTCCGGCAAAGAGTTCATATTACAAGCCTACTCGGATTGCGAAGAAGTATGTGCGAAGGTCGGCTCTAGGCTATAAGTTTGGAGAACCTTAGGATGCATGGGGCAGTCGTAGGGGTCACAGCAACGTGGGCCGGCCTTGTGCTGATGCATCTTGGCAACGCCAACCGGTAATGTTTATGGTGCCCAGGTGCTCAAAGTCTCATGGAGGGTTTTCTATCTATCTGTACATACACACATATTTACATGCATGCATGCATGCATACATACATGATATGTATACATGTATACATATACACATATACAGATACAGATACAGAGGATTCCTTAGACTTCGATAGTATAATAAGTAAATTAGATTACTGCGCACCCCCAGTCTAATTATGAAGGCCCCTTTGCTTAGGCCTCATAGTATCTTAAGGAAACCCTTAAACAACCACGCAGCGGAACCCATAATGGCCAGAATGCTCCTATAATCCAACTAGCCTGCAGTCGAGCCGGCGAAAGGTTTCGGAGCTGTTGGATTCTGGTTCATGGTTTCGTCTTTATGTGCATTGCCTGTGAGTGTGAGGCGGCATTAGACCCTTAAGGAACGCAAAGGCAGAACTGGGACCTTATATCCGATACGCGAGAAAGTCGCAAATACATAGCCCGAAGCCCTAAATCCTAGAACTTTCCTTAACCCCGCATAACCTACCGTTTAAGGACTTATATAAGGAAATCATAAAAGGGAGCCCTAAAAGAAGGTAGGCTATTCAGGGTCAAGGTACACCCTAAGCCCGAGCCCTAAACCGTAGCCAAGCCCAGGTCCTGTGGTCCTCGACGAGAGCCAACTTGGAAGCCCACCGCCACGGCCGAGCGCCGATGAGGGCTCCGCACCTTGGCGACGAGAGATTTTTTTTTTGGGGGGGGGGTGGGTTTTGGGGTTTTGGGTCTAGGGTTCAGGATCTTAGGGTTTAGGATCTTAGGGATCTGGGTTCTAGGGTTCAGGATCACAGGGTTTAGGGTTCTAGCATTGTTCAAGGGCTGTGCATTGATTCCTTTTAGCATCACGGGGTCTAGGGTTCGGGATTGAAGTCGAAATATTGAGATGTTGATGAATGTGCATGTGCTCGTTGGCCAGTACAGCGGGTTTACAGGATTTGTTAGGCGGCTCATGGTTTATGACTTCGGGTTTGGGACCTTCTCAAGCCCTTTTGCAAAGGTTCCAGAATAGCTTACTTCTCTTGGTGTTCTAGAAAGAATCTGTCAAATTCCGTCGTACGGTGTTTAGGGTTTGTGGAGGGGGCAGGGGGTTATGTATGGATCAGTGCTGGGTTTGAAGTCTCAGAATTGTATAATTTAGACTCTAGAGGATGTCTCGGGTTTGTGCGGTTTAGGGTTTCAGGGATTTCTCAGATTTTTGCGGCTCAGCGTGGTGGTTTGAGGGCAGCAGTGGTGCGAACCACGATCTGCTGTTGAGGAACTACAACAGAAGTTTGCGAACCATGACAGGTATCTAATCAGTGAGTGACTGAGTTTTGCGTGAGTGACTGAGTGCTTCTGCTTCCGTGTGAGCTCTGCTGTGCCGCACCACAGGGCTTTTTGGCCCGAATCCGTCAATGAAGCAGGCCCCTATGGGGGGCTAGAAAGCGAGTAGGCCCCTATGGGGGGCCAAGAAAGCGAGTAGGCCCCTATGGAGGGCCGAGAAGGCCAAGTGGTCCAAGAGGGCCGAGAAGGCGAGTTGGGCCAAGTGGGCCAAGTGGTCCAAGAGGGCCGAGAAAGCGAGTTGGGCCAAGAAGGCCGAGAAGGCCAAGTGGTCCAAGAAGGCCAAGCAGTCCAAGAAGGCCGTCGCAAGCTCGAGTTTGCAGTCGTGACGGAGGAAGTCTTTTCGAAAGACAAAGTCCCAGACCAGCCTGAGACCGATCAACTTCGATTCCTTGCGCGGCAGTGGGCAAAATCGCACGATATCAAGCTTGCATATTTTTCAACGCCCCGTTACCTAGCGAATGAGCGGTGGTGCACGACAGCCCGGTGCACCTTACATGAAGGTTGTTACGAGAATCGTGGGTCTGTGTACCAGTTCTCTGGTGGATGGCATGTCAGCAAAACCTTTTTCCGGCTTGAGGTTTCCAAGGCTTCGGAGTGCAATGGTCCACTACGGCGGAAAGCCGGCAAGACGTCATGTGAAGATCTTCGGCCAAGTGACTCGGACAGGTTGCGAGTGCACAAGATTGCAGACTGGCTGTTGGAGCGGAACTTCGCTGTGACACCTTCCAACGTGGCCCGCAGAATGGTGAGAATAGGCGGGGATCGCATTGGCAGGGAGGATATTCGTGCCATTCTGAAGCATAGGAGGACTGTGGAAAATGAGAAGAGCACGAAACAGTTTCGAGAATCTTGGGAGGACATTCAGCAAGTTGCAGAGAAGTTTCAAGACCCGGACTCGGGCCCTCTGTTCATCCAGGATATATGCATGGAAGCATTCACATACATAGCCTTCCTGCCTCTCATGCTCAATGCCCTTCAGAGCTTGCTCAGCGAGGCCGCCGGGGAGCACAACTCCAAATGGGCAATGTGTGCCGACTTCACACACTCTATGTGCGTGATGGGATTCAAGTATGCTGTGGTTTGTGCAGTGGTACACAGGCGGCTGAAAGGTCGCTGGCGTCGATCGTTCTGGCCGCTGGTCATTGCCTGTTCTCCGGTTGAGACAACCCTGAGCTATGAAAAGATTTTTACAGCTTTGCGCAATGAGCTGCAACGGCGGGGAATGTGCATGCCCTCGCAGCTGAACGTGGATCACTTTGTCGGGTCTGCAGCTGCCGCCAAGAATGTCTTTGGAAATTCGCTGCATGTGACACAAGATCTTGAGCACATGAGGAGGGCTATTCTGCAGAATCACAGGAAAGGCCGTAGACAACGTTGGGCTGAGCCGCAGCGCAGTGCGGGAGCAAAGCATCAAGCCCGTGCCAGGGCTAAACGCAAAGCCCGACGAAGACAAGCGACTGTTGAGAATGCAAAGCCGCCTCCATTCCTGGACAGCCGGCCTATCTGGGCAGTGTTGCTGGGAGTGCAGGAGCGTTTTTGTTTTTTGAGTGGCAAGGTGTCACGTTCCAACTCTACAGTTTAGGGTTTTGGGTTACGGGACTACGTGTTTGTTTTTTATACGCTCCTGTACTAATGCGCTTTTGCCCAGGCTCAACTTGCTTGTGAACCTGGCACTCCTGCCGACGCAGCTAATGTTCCATCTGATCACGGACAGTACGCTGAAGCGCATAACCAGTATTTGGAACGAGCAGCGATTTGCGGAATACTTGCTGGAGACCTACTTCCGCAAGAGGCCACCGCCAAAAGAATCCGGCTTGGAGTCAGAGGTCTACGATGCTTCGTGGTGGCATGGAGTTGCTTTCCGGTTGATGCCAGGACACCCTCCTACGCAACAGTGCGCAGAGGGTGCCAATGCGAAGATCAAGAGGGACGTGCAAGCTGGCGGCGTGGTGTTAGACACACACGGGACTGTGATTGAGGAGATCGCACAAGCCGCTGCTTTATGGGCCTCGCCGCTCAGGGTTAAAGACGGGGACAAACCGCTGACTCTGATGGCAAGTAGAGAGGCGCTTGCCACGCACATGCCAAGAGGACCAGACTCTTGGATGCTTCGTCCCAAAGGGCTGAGACTGAGACGACCATTTGGCCAATTGGAACTCTTCCCCTCAATACCTTGCCTCCTCAAATTTTGGCAAGCGCGAACTGCAACCTACATACGTGAATCCCCGGCTGGTGGGACCTTCCGCTACGCTTGTGTTGCAACTCATAAACCAATTGCCGTGCCCCCAGGGCAATTGGAAAAAATGCGAGCCATGTTTCAGGAACGAAAAGCTGCTGGGATGCTACAGAAGTTGAAGCAAGCCCACATCCTTCAAGACGAGGACCATGAGACAGCCAACTTGAAATTCGACAAGACTGCCAAGTACTGCACTTCTGGTCATTGCTGCACTACTGCCACTTAGTGCACTACTGCCAATTACCACACTACTGCCAACTGCTGCACTACTGCCAATTACCGCACTACTAGTCAATACTGCACTACTGCCAATTACTGCACTACTGGTCACTACTGCACTACTGCCAATTACTGCACTACTGGTCATCACTGCACAACTGCCAATTGCTGCACTGCCACTCACTACTGCCAGTTACTGCATTACTGGTCATCACTGCACTACTGCCAAGTACTGCACTACTGGGCGGCTGGATACTGACCAGACAAGGCGGCCACCTATGTTGTAGTTTTGGAGAGACTCGCAGGTATCATTTTGAGCCTTTCCCCATCCAGAATCGAAATGACCCAAATTCGCCAAGTCCCAAACCCACCCATTCCCACTTGCCCATGCCCCTTTGCCCAAATGCTACTGGTGCTGGTGCACTCCTGCTCCTGCTACCGCTATTGCTACTTCTTCCTCCTGCGACTTCTGCTACTACTCCTACTACTACCACTACTGCTACTGCTACTACTACCACCACCACTACGACTGCTACTACTACTACTACTACTACTACTACTACTACTACTACTACTACTACTACTACTACTACTACGACTACTTCTGCTACTAGTTTGTAACAGAGGGGGGGGGCCCCGCGACAACACGGGGTTTTGACCCACGGCCTTATTAGCCCTCATTGAAACGTTAGTGCTACGTGCTTGGACAAGCTGCGACCAAACTGTTTATGCTACTTCGATGCTGGGCATTGCCCTCTACGTATGTTCTACTACGTAACATGCCTCTGATTGTAAGATGTGCCAGTACTAATGCCATCCGTATGCTACAGTCGGTCAGCGGCCGCAGGTGTGGCTCAGTACCATTGTAGAGTGCGATGGCAGCACACAGACATGAGTCCCTACATGCTACCTAGATGCTACATACGGCCTTCCGTGTCCCACCGTGGATGGACTCTGATCTGGACGTAATCATGGTTGGCCCATGGTTGCTCTGCGGGTACGGATGGGGTCTGATCTGGACGCTTTCATGGTTGGCACATGAATGCTCTGCGGGAATGGATGAAGCTGATTTGGACGTTATCATGCTCTGTGCGAATGGATGTAGTCTGATCTGGACGTTATCATGGTTGGCAAATGGATGCTCTGTGCGAGTGGATGTAGTTTTGATTAGGAGGTTACCATGGTTGGCACATGGATGCTCTGGGGGAACAAATGGTCTGATCAGGACGTTATCATGGTTGGCCCATGGATGCTCTGTGGGAATGGATGGAGTTTGATCTGGAGACGTTATCGTGGTTGGCCCAGGGATGCTGTGCGGGAATGGATGGACTGTGATCTGAACATGATGGTTGGCCCATGGAAGCTCTCTGGGAATGGATGAACTCTGGTCTGGGAGCAATCATGGTCGGCCCATGGTTGCTCTGCGGGAACGGATGGACTGTGATCTGAACGTTCTCACGGTTGGCCCATGGATGCTCTGTGGGAATGTATGGACTCTGATCTGGACAAAATCATGGTCGGCCCATGGTTGCTCTGCGGGTACGGATGGTGTTTGATCTGGACGTTATCATGGTTGGCACATGGATGCTCTGTGGGAATGGATGGAGTTTGATCTGGACGTTATCGTGGTTGGCCCAGGGATGCTGTGCGGGAATGGATGGACTGTGATCTGAACATGATGGTTGGCCCATGGAAGCTCTCTGGGAATGGATGAACTCTGGTCTGGGAGCAATCATGGTCGGCCCATGGTTGCTCTGCGGGAACGGATGGACTGTGATCTGAACGTTCTCACGGTTGGCCCATGGATGCTCTGTGGGAATGTATGGACTCTGATCTGGACAAAATCATGGTCGGCCCATGGTTGCTCTGCGGGTACGGATGGTGTTTGATCTGGACGTTATCATGGTTGGCACATGGATGCTCTGTGGGAATGGATGGAGTTTGATCTGGACGTTATCGTGGTTGGCCCAGGGATGCTGTGCGGGAATGGATGGACTGTGATCTGAACATGATGGTTGGCCCATGGAAGCTCTCTGGGAATGGATGAGCTCTGGTCTGGACGCAATCATGATCGGCCCATGGTTGCTCTGCGGCAATGGATGGACTGTGATCTGAACGTTCTCATGGTTGGCCCATGGATGCTCTGCGGGTACGGATGGGGTCTGATCTGGACGCCATCATGGTTGGCACATGAATGCTCTGCGGGAATGGATGGAGCTGATTTAGACGTTATCATGCTCTGTGCGAATGGATGTAGTCTGATCTGGACGTTATCATGGTTGGCAAATGGATGCTCTGTGCGAGTGGATGTAGTTTTGATTAGGAGGTTATCATGGTTGGCACATGGATGCTCTGGGGGAACAAATGGTCTGATCAGGAATCAGGACGTTCTCATGGTTGGCCCATGGATGCTCTGTGGGAATGGATGGAGTTTGATCTGGAGACGTTATCGTGGTTGGCCCAGGGATGCTGTGCGGGAATGGATGGACTGTGATCTGAACATGATGGTTGGCCCATGGAAGCCCTCCGGGAATGGATGCGCTCTTGTCTGGACGCAATCATGGTCGGCCCATGGTTGCTCTGCGGCAATGGATGGACTGTGATCTGAACGTTCTCATGGTTCGCCCATGGATGCTCTGCGGGTACGGATGGGGTCTGATCTGGACGCCATCATGGTTCGCACATGAATGCTCTGCGGGAATGGATGAAGCTGATTTGGACGTTATCATGCTCTGTGCGAATGGATGTAGTCTGATCTGGACGTTATCATGGTTGGCAAATGGATGCTCTGTGCGAGTGGATGTAGTTTTGATTAGGAGGTTATCATGGTTGGCACATGGACGCTCTGGGGGAACAAATGGTCTGATCAGGACGTTCTCATGGTTGGCCCATGGATGCTCCGTGGGAATGGATGGACTCTGATCTGGACGTAATCATGGTTGGCCCATGGTTGCTCTGCGGGTACGGATGGGGTCTGATCTGGACGCCATCATGGTTGGCACATGAATGCTCTGCGGGAATGGATGAAGCTGATTTGGACGTTATCATGCTCTGTGCGAATGGATGTAGTCTGATCTGGACGTTATCATGGTTGGCAAATGGATGCTCTGTGCGAGTGGATGTAGTTTTGATTAGGAGGTTATCATGGTTGGCACATGGATGCTCTGGGGGAACAAATGGTCTGATCAGGACGTTCTCATGGTTGGCCCATGGATGCTCCGTGGGAATGGATGGACTCTGATCTGGACGTAATCATGGTTGGCCCATGGTTGCTCTGCGGGTACGGATGGGGTCTGATCTGGACGCCATCATGGTTGGCACATGAATGCTCTGCGGGAATGGATGAAGCTGATTTGGACGTTATCATGCTCTGTGCGAATGGTTGTATTCTGATCTGGACGTTATCATGGTTGGCAAATGGATGCTTTGTGCGAGTGGATGTAGTTTTGATTAGGAGGTTATCATGGTTGGCACATGGATTCTCTGGGGGAACAGATGGTCTGATCAGGACGTTATCATGGTTGGCCCATGGATGCTCTGTGGGAATGGATGGAGTTTGATCTGGAGACGTTATCGTGGTTGGCCCAGGGATGCTGTGTGGGAATGGATGGACTGTGATCTGAACATGATGGTTGGCCCATGGAAGCTCTCTGGGAATGGATGAACTCTGGTCTCAATCATGGTCGGCCCATGGTTGCTCTGCGGGAATGGATGGACTCTGATCTGGACGTAATTATGGTTGGCCCATGGTTGCTCTGCGGGTACGGATGGGGTCTGATCTGGACGTTATCATGGTTGGCACATGAATGCTTTGCGGGAATGGATGAAGCTGATTTGGACGTTATCATGGTTGGCCCATGGTTGCTCTGCGGGGTTTAGGGTTGGTTTGTACTTCCTTCGTTCATCGGGCAGCTGCCTGAGCCAAGAACGCACCTGTGATTGCAGTCCTTCGCATGCTTCTTGTCGTCGTTTTCGCCGGGCTGACTTTAGGCTTGCAGGAGCGATGTCTGAAGAGGTCCGTGCAGACTTCAACTCCCCCTTAGCAGAGCAGGAACTGGGTGTTATGCTCGCACAAAGTGCTAGCAGCATGACGCCGCCGGGACGCACCCATGCTCCAAGTTCTCCGCCTGGTGAATATGCTTATTTGGCCAAGCCTGGCTCCTCATACGCCTCCCGCATCATGATGCCTCGGTCTGCCGTGCAGACTTTGCTTCGTCAGGGCTTCGTCGAGGAGCAGAACGGTGTGTTTCGTTGGCGACAGAGCGCTTCTGTAAACGAGCAGAACCAGGCACTGCTAAAGGCATTGCCACCCGGACGACTGCGCGACGTCCTGGAGCGGTCTTTTGATGCCTCGGCGGACCCACTCACCTTTCCGCAGGCATCCACCAGCACCCAGGGAGTCCAACTCAGGAGTCATTGCTTTGTTTGTCTTGCCACAACAGGCCGTGAACCGGGAACCGCCAGGCTCGAAGGCTCGACGGCTCAACTGTCAGCTCTTCAAAGTTGGTTCCCTTGTACGTCTCTTTTTGCACAGGGGGGCCTGCAAGACGACAGTGAAGAGCCTGCTTCTGACAAGGCTGCGGGGCCTGTCCGCTTCTGACAGTGGGTTTAAGAGTGCTGAGCTTGTTCTCCTGCGTCTGTCCTGTCGCCGAGGTTGGACCCGAAGGCAAACTTGCAGAACCTGGTTTGGCCAAGGCTAGGGACCTCGCAAAGGTACGGTGGGCTTCCCAGAGCTGTGTCTCTCTCTTGTCGTGCAGGTGGGGTCGGAAATGGCACTTGGAGAACCTGCCATAGACAAGGCCACGGCAAAGAGTCTTGCAGGCAACATTGGAATGTAAGATTGGTCTGCGAGGCCGAGCGTGCGCCAAGCGCAGATGATTTCGCAAAGTGGAAGGCATTGCCTGACCAAGTTTGGGTGTTGTTTTGGGCTTCCGATTGCAGTTCCACTCTTGGATGTTTGCAGGTGCCGGAGTTGAGGGCGAGGCTGAAGGAGCTCGGCCTTGCATGCAAGGGAAACAAGCCGGCTCTTGTGGAAAGACTCCGAAACCAACCTTGTGCATCACCGGAACAGCCTGCAAAATCTCCCGCAGCACGTCCGGAAAAACCTGCAAAGCTTGCAAGACTTCCTGCAAAGGCCAGGGGTGTGGCTTTCCCCCGTAAACTCCGTAACGATAAGCTACACCCGTACACCCTACAGCGTTCTACACCCTCAAATCCTGAACCCTAAACCCTAAAGGAGAGTGTCAACCCTACGGGGCAAGACGTGTCCTGTTAGGCTCGCTCCTCCGATATGCCCGTGGCCGAGCAGATCCCTGATGATGACGATGACGTGGAAGAGGGCGATTCGCCGACCTATGTGTCGCCGAGAGAGGAGGGTATTCATGAAGTGGCAAACAGTATGCCGCCCCACATGAAGGCCGAGGCCAAGGGCTGCGAACTTTTTGATGCGCACCGGGAGTTTCTCATGGAGAAGCGGGGTGGCAAGCGAGAGAGAGGTTCCAAGACACATGAGCCTGCTGTGCGGCAGGATCCGGAATGGCGACAGTCGCTCCAAGCCAGCATGAGTATCCCAAAGAAAGCTTTCGATCGGCTCATCAATGACGTTTTCCAGGACTTGCAAAAGACCATGGACGATGAGATGGAAAACGCGTCCAAAATGGGATGCGGTTCAGGTGATGGTGACATCCCCCCTCACGGTGACATGAAGATTTCCAAAGATGCTCGGATTTGGGCCCAAGCCGCATCCGAGGAATTCGTGGCATCCGTGTTTTCGGATTGCACCGTTTTGCGGAAGCATGCGAAACGGTCGGAGACAGTGTACAAGGCGGATGTTCAGCTTCTCATGGGGATCCGATCTGGCCGGTTGTTCGAGCAGGCGGCGGAGGATGCGGAGCAAGCTTGCCGGCGTGATCGTGCAGAGCAGCAGAAGATCAAAGAAAGCAAGCGTCGCAACAAACGAGCTGGACCGGATCCCGAGGCTGGTTTCCAAAGCCCTAAAATCAACAAATCCGAAGCACCAAAACCCTAAAATCAAAAAATCCGAAGCACCAAAGCCCTAAAATCAAAATATCCGAAGCACCAAAACCCTAAAATCAAAAAATCCGAAGCACCAAAGCCCTAAAATCAAAATATCCGAAGCACCAAAACCCTAAAATCAAAAAATCCGAAGCACCAAAGCCCTAAAATCAAAATATCCGAAGCACCAAAACCCTAAAATCAAAAAATCCGAAGCACCAAAGCCCTAAAATCAAAATATCCGAAGCACCAAAACCCTAAAATCAAAAAATCCGAAGCACCAAAGCCCTAAAATCAAAATATCCGAAGCACCAAAACCCTAAAATCAAAAAATCCGAAGCACCAAAAAAATCAAAAATCCGAAGCACCAAAACCCTAAAATCAAAAAATCCGAAGCACCAAAACCTTAAAATCAAAAAATCCGCAGCACCAAAACCTTAAAATCAAAAAAATCGGATCTGACAGGCCCACGATGTCGAAGATGCTGCTGTGCGGAAGGCTAAAGCCGCGCGAAAGCGCCGGATGGAGAAGCTCAAGAAGTGATGCTTTCCTCTCTGCCTTCTTTTTTGTTTCTTTGGCCTTTGGCTGTCCCTTCTCAGAACAGATGTGGGAACTAGAGCCAGGTTCAAAAAGTGACGTGGGACGTCACTCAACTTTCGAGACACAGCAGTCTGACGAAAAACAGGGGCCGCTGCGGAGCCTCAGAGCTGAAGCGGGTTGTTAGGCACAACAAACATGGGCCCGCAGATGCCCATAGAGGCCTATAGGCTTCCCAGGACTGCTCCACGACAGCGTTGCTTGAAGAGATTCTTGTCGCGGTTCCTTCGAAGCCGAAGCGTGGTTCCTATTTGTTGTTTCTTTGCGTGGTTCGTGCCCCCCCTCGCGTTTGAGGGTATGGGCTTTCGGGTCTCGGGGATTGGGGTTTAGGCCTGTCGTGCCTGGAGAAAAGAGCGCGAGGACTCGACACAGGGATCGTAGACAGTGATTCCTCAATTCTCAGCTGAGTACCAGTATGCTTCGGGGAGTAGGTAAAGAGCTTACAAGTTGCAGGAGCTCTCGGCGACTTACTGTTTGTGGGTCAGCAGGGTAATCCGCATGATGGACGCACAAAAGAACTCAAGCTGGAAAAGTGTCTGAACGCTAGGACGTACCCCCTCAACCCGAAACTCCTGAAACCCTTACACCCAACCCCTTGTGCAGGACAACGCCCAAGAGGGAAGCAAGGCTCCCATAGGCACACAGCGGGGGTCTGGAGATTTAGGCTTTCAGGGTTTGTTGGGGGTTGGGGTTTGAGGGTTGAGGGCATTATTAGTGGCTTGAGTTTATCTTGAGGCTCTATATATATATATATATATATATAAGGACTCATATTTCAAGGCCTTCACGGCCCAAAGCCGTACTAGGTCATGATGTTGAGCTATGCTGAGCCTCAGGGCTGCGGTTGGGATTTCACGGTTCCGTGCATTGGGGTCGAGCTTCGCGAAGTTGCTCCTGTCTTGTCAGCATCAGAGCAGCCAGAACGTTAAGACAACGTGCGAACCGCTCCACATGATGAAATACTACACAACGGGCCTTCGGATGCCTGATCGTCATGCCTAGGCTCGTCTTTCTGCGCTCCAAGGATAAAGCGCATGATAGAAGTACTTAGAGTTGAGGTTGTGGATGGGTCTTTTGGAGCAATCCGTCTTCTGACTGGTCATGATGACCAAACATGCATATCGTCAGCCAGCTGATGTTAGCGACATCCCCCTAAATCCTAACCCTAGAGGGGCTTGACGATTGAAGAGCCAATCCAAGCGCAACAGCCTTCAAGCCCTAGGCCCTAGCCGCACAGGCAACCAGAAAGCAAGGCTGCGCCCGATCGGTTTGGAGGCGGGGCTGTGGTGCCTACTTTCTGGGATCGGTGGCGCTGGGGCTTAGGAATTACCTTAGTCTTCAAGGTTTGTAAGGCTGTGTGTTTGTTATGGTCCAAGTTTGTGCTTTAAACTTTAAACCTAAAGCCTCTAAAGTCTCCAACGCAGTGAAGCAAAGCTTGAAATTGCAACTGGCTGGCTGGATGCTTTGATGTCGGGCTATTGATGGTTTTGCGATTTGGGGCTAGAGGGCTGAGGAGGTAAGAGGGACAATGTAGGATTCCACATCTAAAAATCTCGAACACATTCGGACAACAGCAGGACGCAACGGACCAGTTGATGCCTCGAAACAGCAGATTCCAACAGCCTCAAGCCCGAAAGCCTCAAACCGCTAAATACACTAACCTTAAACTTCTGACAAGTTAGATTCCCAAGCCCAAGATTATAAGTTGAACGTTGCCCTACATCTCGCTTAAGGCTAACTTGTTGAGTGTAGGTGGGCTTCTTGGTCCGGGTGAAGACGATGTAAATCAACTGCCGCAGTAGGGTTGTGGATCTGGTGCTTGGGATTAAGGCTTCAGGGTTAAGGGTTTAGGGTTCAGCCATGACAGGGACAAGGGACTCCGCTTCCCTTCTTCCAGCATCTGAACGTTCCTTGACAGGGGCCGACACAAACTTGGCAGCTCTTGGTTCAATCTGCTGTGCTGAAAGTGTCAACGCCTCCTTATTACAGCAATACCTACCTGTCGTACTACTGCCTCCATTGAGCTTCTTGTTGAACCTCTTTCATGTTTACTATCCTTTGGTGAAACGAAAAGAGGAACTACAATGGAGACTGCAGGTAGTCCTGAACCCCTAAAGTTCCTAAAGTTTCGACTGTTTGTCAAGATACCCAAAGGCCTCAGGGCCCAAGCCCCAAGCACAAAGATCCTAACATCCAAAGCCTCACAACACCGAAGAAGCACGACATTCCTAAACCCCACAATACTGAAATGAAAACGCACCAAACACCGAGATGAGGTTCAGGGTTGTCGGGCCTGGGTCTGGAGAAACCCGATCCCTGAACAGAGGAGGCCCTGAACTGAACGCTTCTAGCCTCCTGAAGCTGGGTCATCTTGTTGATGGGCAGATTCAATCTGCACTGAAGCTCGTACCCTAAATCTTTGGGATTACTTGTATGTAGTAGCCCCAAGCTCGCTAAGCCCTTGCAAACCTCTGCCACCTTACTTCTCTTTTCCGCATATGTAATGCTCCGCAGGTCGTGACGATTTCCGAGGACGAGGCTGCGCCAGTGGTGCCTGCGGAGGTCCGCCGGGAGATGTGGGCGAAGCAATAGCTTAGGCTTCCGGGTGTACGCGTCTGGGGGTGCTTTGTGTTTCGCAGTCAGGAAGGCTTTTCGGATGTGTCGGTCAAGGGGACGTGACTTGAAGGATGGAGAGTCTTGCGAAGTCGGAAGGGTAACTTTCTCCGCAAGTGCTGGGCATGCATAGCGACAACCAACTACGGCGCCAGCTGGGGTATTTTTCTCACATGAGCTAGTCGCAATCCAACACCATGATGCACGGAAACTCCACACCTTGAACCCCGACCCTCCCACTACTGGGAACTCAATGCTAACCCCATCTTTCAAGTCCTAGAAGCGTATACGATTCATGGGGTTTGGCCCTAATATAGGAGCCTTACTAGTTAGGATAGGGCTTTGGGGCCCATTCTTATTATACTATAGATATAATTAGGAACCCCCAAAATAGTATAGGTAATTCAATTATTAAGGCCCCTATACCATAGAATCCTGTTATAGATCCCTCATAGACCCCTTTAAGGAACCCTTTAAAGGACCCCCCCAAAATAGTATAGGTAATTACGTGAGGCCCCTATAATAAACCCCAAACCCGACACCCCGCGTCACCCCAGGCCAGCGCGAAGCCGAAACCCAAGGGTCGGCCCAAGAAGAAGCCCGAGGCCATCGGTTTCGGGTTTAGGGTTTAGGGTTTAGATTTTGAGGGTTTGGGGTTTAGGGTTTAGGGTTTAGATTTTGAGGGTTTGGGGTTTAGGGTTTAGGGTTTAGGAGCCCGAGGCCATACGTTTCAGATCTTCTAAAGTTAGGGGCTTCAGTCACCTAAATAGTAGACAACCATATGTAGTTAAGGGTTTCTGGTGTAGGGTTACGGTTTGGGTTGCTGCAAACAGGTGAAGCCCGATACCTGCAACCGTTAGAGAAGTCACTGAAGTTATGGCGTTTTGGTCTTTTCGGTTTCACTCTAATGGACTTAGACTCGCTACTTCGTCACCAGAGTGAGGGGTTGAAGGTGCCGGATTTAGGGTTTACGGTTTATGGTTTGGTTTAGGGCTTATGTCTTGCGGGTTCATGTAGGGCATGTAGGGTGTAGGGTTTGGGCAGATTGGCCTTAAGAGCACCCTGATGTCGACCTGCAGGGGTCGAGGTTCCACCCCCCCTTTCACAAGAGGATGCCCCAGCACTTCGCAAGCGTAATAGAGGGGGGCCGCCTGACAGTGGACCATCCTCAGCCCCTTTCTTTAGGCTGGACATCGAATGCCGGCAGCCACCACACGCCCAGTGGCTGGCCTTAGCCTGCAAGCCAACAGCACTGGCAAGCGAAGTCCTAACCGTATGCAGGAACCGGATGAAAATGCCCGGCCTTGACACTCTGCAGATTTGGCCTTCTGGCTCTCATCTCGACCTCAGAGAGACCCTGGGTGCGTCGCTGCAAGAGCATCTTCGGTAAAGACCCACAGAAGCAGGCCTGAAGCTCCGACCGCCGAAAGCCTAAACCCAAGCTCCCTAGTAAACCCTATAAACCCTAAACCTCTAAACCCCTAAACCTTAAACCCTATAAACCCTAAACCCCTAAACCTCTAAACCCTAATCCCTAGTTTACAAGACAGGAAAGTCTAGAAAGATCTAGCATCACCTGAGCCATCCTCAGGCCTAAACGCTACCTGGACCCCAGATGACCTATCTTCTGTTAAGGTTCCCTAGTATGATTTCTTCCTAATTATATTTATACACCCTAGGTAGGTTATTTTCTAACATGATTTCTTCTTTGTATACGTCCTAGGTAAGTTATTTGGGGTCAGAGGATCCCTACAGAAAACCGAAACTGTCGGCTACACTGTATACTAGCGGCTGCAAGCCTCCCGGAGGCTTCGACAGAAAGCCGACGCCCACGGATACCAGAGTCCAAATCCAGAAGGCCGCGATTCTGAGCGCAGGGGTAGGAATCTAAGGTGTTCAGGTGTACGATGGAGGTCGTTGGGGCTTTGGCTTTGCGGATATGTGGATTGTCGGAAAGGATCCAGGACGTTGTTTGTTTGTTGTTGTGTTCTGGGTTTCGCTCGTGTGGTTACGGGTGTTGTCTATACAGCTACAGCTACAGCTTCAGATTTCACCGTGTCCTGTTTCGGATATTGAAACTGTTGAGGTGCTAGGTTTATGGGCTATTGATATCCCCAAGTCGAAGTGCTACTAAACAAGGCTGAGCAATTTCCAACATGATTCCGTAGGGTTCCTTATTCGAAAAGCCCCCAAAAACCCTTTTCTAATTATTAAGGCCTTTACACTAAGCCCTAAACCTTGATCTAGATGTCAAAAAGTATGCCTTTGGATGGTTCGGGTGAGGTCAAGTTTTGTGCAGAAGGTCTGACGAGGGCCCAACACGCCAATTGCAGCGGGCGAAGAGGAAGAGGCCCAGCTTGCAGGTGTGTACGGGTTTAGCTAGCGTTCAAGATGTCGGGGGTTAAGCACGAGACGAGTTCACAAAGCAATCGACTCTAATTACTGAACATAAGCTAATTAGTAGAATCCTTGTGACAAAGATGCCTGCACAAGGTACCCCCGACTTTAAGGCACTATATGGTACAATGTGTTATGGTATCAGAGTAGCATAGTAGAGAATGGAATCGAATAAAAATCATAACTGATATGTAAGGTATGGTACGGGATTCTATGATATGACTTAACATGACCGCACCACCGAAAGGGTGCATTCGCGAATCTAATCATGGCAAGACTCACTACGAGCCACGGAGGTTTGAAAGGTTAACACTACCTTCTAGGATCTTACCTCGCGCAAGCCCTAATATAGAAGAAGACTGAAGGGCAGGGCGTTGGGGCATGGGTGAGCTGTTGAGCGTGTGCTTCGGATGGGGGAAGGGGGGGGGGCGGTGAGGATCCTTTTCAACATGTTTGCCAAAGCTCGCCAGTCATAAACCCTTAGCCGTACAAAAAAGGGCCTGAAGAATTCCCTATACTATTGTGGGGCTTCCCTATTGTAAGTATAGTAGAATGGGCCCCCAAACCCTATTCTAATTATTAAGGCCCCTATACTAAGCCCTATAAACCCACTCCTCAGAGGCTTCGGCTCCAGGGTGGTGGTTTTCCCCAACCCTACATTTGGGGTTTGGGGACGAAAAATCCGCAAAGCCTACATTTAGGGTTTTTTTGGGTTTAGGGACGAAAAATCCTCAAGCCGTGTCGTGCTAAAGCATGCCAAGAGGTCTGACAGCCCTTAAAGCGCGAAAAAGCATCCAAAGCCCTCAAACCATCTCGAAGACACCCTGCAGGAAACTGTAGGGCCCTAAACCCTAAACTCAATACCCAATCGGGCTTTCGTAAAGCACTCTGCAGATCGGAAAGGAGCCCTTAAACAAAAAAAACAATACCCCTAAAGTAGTTCGTCACCTGCCTGGCACTGCCAGGAGTGGGGCTGCCTGATGCCTGTTTCGGCTTCAATGTAAAGCGCCGAGCCACAAACTCGAATTTACCAAAAACCCTAAACCCTAAACATCGGTGCGCTGAAGCGGCAGTGGTATTAAAGAGTTGGCTGTCGGTTTCATGTTACGTACCATAGTGGTTATCCATGACAGTCGTTAGGATTTCTCAGTACAGTTCCTACTATACGCCCCCCCCCCCCCCAATCAGTCGTTAGGATTCCTCAGTATAGTTCTGACTATACGCCCCCCACCACCACCACCACCACCACCACCACCACCACCACCACCACCACCACCACCACCACCACCACCACCACCACCACCACCACCACCACCACCACCACCACCACCACCGCCTTGTATGCATTGCCGCCATGATGTTAGGCTTCACTGCGTCGGCAGGGCCGAAAAGTTGAGATTCACCCTGAGCCTCCCTTGTTGGTGCTTGTTCACCCGGGGTTTACATTAAATTTGAAGAACCTACATGTTTAAGGAATTATATAAAGAAATCATAGTAAGGAACCCCCACAAAACGTAGGTTAATCAGGGTTAAGGTAGGGTTTAGGCTTAATTAGAGTTTTCTGATTTTAGGATCTCAACCACGTGCCAGCTCAAGTAACAAAGGAACTACCGCTGAAAGACTCGGACAATTTCTTCAGTCGAGATCATCTGAAAGTGATTTCGGTCGGCGTAGCACTGTTATGGCTTCTTTAAGTCTGTGATGGTTAGTTTAGGGTTTAGGGTGTTAAACAAGAAGCTCTTCATTTGGGCTCGTGCGCTCTCACTTCTTGAGTTGGGCCAGCTTTTTCGAGGAGAAACGGGCATGCGCTGTCTGTGCAAAAAGGAGGGCCTTGAAAGTGCCAAAGAAGCTTCGCAAGGGTCAACTCAGTGCAGTTCGGCAAGGACAAGTTTAGGCTTCAGGGTTTAGGGCGAGGAGTCACGCTTTTCATCGACTTTTATGAAAATGGATGTAGAGATACAGATATATAGATTCATACATACATACACATACTCGCAGCAAAAACTGGTCACACTTTGTTGATCGCACTTCTTCCCCTCGCTATGGCGTCCCAATGTGCATGAATGTTTACGAGTATATGGGGTTCGGGGTACAGGGTTTGTATACCAGATTTGATGTTTCAAGGTTAGAATCTTGTTGGTTCCGGCTTTGGTCCTGTGCCGCCTGCCGAAGGATGTGCTGGGCCTCCGCTTTACAAGCGCCAGTGCTCCTCAGCTTGACTTACAGCCCCATCAGGACTCTCCATGCACGAAGCACGTACGTTCTTTAAGCGTTTCGGTATGCCTTGCTTGATGGTGCCAGGAGCGTTTCCCTCAGGGGTGCAGGGCTGATTTCTGATTCTTTATGTTGCAGAATCCAGGGTGGGCTTTGTTGAGGATTCTTGCTGCATGCTACCATTCCATTGCAAACAACCGTTGCGTTGCAGGGAGGCAGCACAAGTATAAACAAAGGCAATCGTGAGGAAAAGCGTCCACATTCTAGGAGCTTCTCACAGACTCTAACAGTGAGGGTGTGTTCCAAGATACAGGCGCGTCCCTAAATCCTCATTGTATCAATCTCGCCTCGAAGCTCGTGGAAGAGTCGAATGAACAGTTGCGTGTACTTACCTTTATGGAGGAATGGGCCACAATTATAACCACTCTCATTACCATTCTTCCATTCCCTACTAACCAAACGTAAGTGTGTGCATCTTGAGCGCCAGCTTTATTTTGCTTCGGCCATAATCCCGAGCTCGAGATCCTTAAGCCCTGTACATTACTTTGCCTGCAACACTGCCTGAAGCCCTTGCATTCTCACCTTGGTACTAAACCCGGAGGGTCCATATACACTTCTAATATGGAGTTGGGTACCGGAAGACCATCCCTACTGTGGTGTTGGGGACCTATTTCCAAAATGGTAGTGACCCTCTGGGAAACTACTAAACCCATCGAACCCTAAACCCTAAACGGCCCTAAACCCTAACTCATTTTCGGAAACTCTAAACCCTTATAGAACACTTTAAAGGAACCCTTGTAATAACCCATTTAAAGGAACCCTACGGCACCCCTAATTTTCGGAAACCCCCAAATAGTGTACGAAGCTCAGGCGGATAACATGCTCCTCAGCATTCAGCCACGTTCGACGATACTGGGCTTCAAGATTTGTGTGTCGTTTTTTATCAAGTTCTTTAAAGGGCCCTAGGTGCTGTTATGGATGATACTTTCACAAATCATAATGAGGATGCTTAGTACAGAAACCCTACATTGTGCTAATATAGGTACTTCGGACCTTTCGGGGTGCGGTCCCTTTCAACAGATTGCGTTACTCTTATCATACGGACCTTGAGCGACCCAGTACAGTAGCACAGATGTTGGCGAAAGTCGGTTTACCACCGGTACAGGAAGAGACGGCGCGGTCGTGGTGGCAGTGGGCGGTTGGTTCCCATGATTTTGTGTATATCACGTTGTGCTTTGTTGGGTGCGAAGCTGAGATTGAACTCGGTCTTTTCTCGCACAAACTTCCGGAAGCATGGCCATACGGGATCGTTGCAGCAGCACCTGAAGAAGTGGACAGGCATGGGCTAATCTCATGGGTACAGCGGTAGATCATGATTTTGACTCTGCCATCTCTGATGAAAAATTCCATATATATATATATATATATCAGACCTGAAAACCCGATGCCGTCAACGAATCCGGAGTGCTGTTAACGATTTGAATGCCTGAACCTCGAAGCCCAAGACCGAGCTCGATCTTCAACCCTTGCAGGTGCATGAACCTTAAACCGCTTAATTACCGTTGGCCCTACCCCAGGAATATCTTCCGACCACAGAAGGCCGGTGATACCTTCCAGGGTCAGACTTGATGTTGGATTTGTCGTTGCTTTGGAGTTAAGGCTAGGGTCAGCTTACTGTTGACATCCCCAAACCCTAAACCCGTACAGTAAACCCCAAGTTACAAGTTGGAAACCGGATTAAGGTCAAATAGTGCTGGGATTCCGTATACATTACTCTTAAGGATTGAGGCTATTGGGTTTCCAACCTTTTTGGCTTCTACTGTAAACCCAAACCACATTTCGGGCTTCGGGCTTCAGGGTTTGAGGCTGTTGGGTTTTCGCACTGGGGCTCCCGCGCTCAGGACCTGCGTCTTCGGGGGCTTTGCCATGGCAGAAGCACTGTTTAAAGAAGGCTTTGAGGTTTAGGGAAACCCTATTAAGCCCTAAACGCCAAACCCCCAAACCCAAAAACCTTCAAATCGCCGGCCAAGCAAGAAGAGAAATGCGCAGCCTGCACTTGCAGCTCCATGAAGCCCTCAATCAACATTCCCTACTACGGCACACCTAAAGCTCGAGTATCTTATGCTTTTATTGCACAAAGTGTAAGTACCTATTATCGGGTTCTTGAGCCTTTGTCCGAGGTAAATCTTTCTCCAACAAGGTCCATGTTGTGGTTTATGGAATTGGCCAAACGACCATCCCCGCAGACGTTTCTCCGATCCATATTCCAGAGTGGTAGTACATTCGGGTTGACATTGGGACTCCGAACCCCTGCGCCCGAAGCCTTACATGTAACCTGAACCCTACTTCTAGAGCCCTAAACCCTAAACCCTGAACCGTAAGCCCTAAACTTTAAACCCTAAACCCTAAACCTTAAACCCTAAAGCAGGGTTGAGCTGTAAGGTTTTTTAGGGGAAGTGGTGAAACCGTTTTCGTGTGAGCTGATTAACTGCATTTGCTAAAACAGCTTGCCTCCACCTGCCGGTCGTTTATCTTTTTTGCTAAAACAGCTTGGGTCCACCTGCCGGTCGTTTATCTTTTTGGTTCAGCCGTTCCATTAAGTGAGGGAGGCTGGGGGCCCCAGTCCTCCTCACTTAACGGGACGGTCGTAAAGGGCAGGATCCATACATAGGGAGGGGGAGGGGGGGGGCAGGGCGGCACGTAAATCCTCACTTGGGTATTAAAACCTTAAGGCCCCAATAGCCCACATATCTCAACAACCCTTACTACCAACAGCCCGCCGGTTGTAATTAATGCTTGTACCCCCAAACTCAAAGCCTAAAATAAATAACACAGAAGATGAAAACCATTAACCTTCAAGCCCTACAGCAATACCCCTAAACTCAAGCTTGCCGGTCGAGAAGATCATCCTGACGCCATGGGCCGGATGCCCCAGTATGGGGTTTGGGGATTAAGTTAGGCTAGTGGTTCAGGGTGTTTTAGTGTGGTCGGTCGAGTGATTTTTTGCGTTGTTTGGATCGGGTGTGGGTTAAAGGATGTGGTTTCGGATTTGCTGGTAAGGTTGGAGTTTGCATTTGCTTCGGATTATTTAGGATTGGGTTTTTTAGGTCGGTCGGCACCCTGAACCCTAAGGCCCTAAGCCCTAAGTCCTCAAACCCCCCTCGTCGGTCACGTTCGTGATGCAGCAGCTGGCCGGTCGACTTCGGTCCCGGTGCTGCTGTTGCTGAGTTGAGCTTGCCGGTCGACTTCGGTCCCGGTGCACTCCTGGGCTTGCCGGTCGACTTCGGTCCCGGTACTCAGGCATGGCACAGAGCTCGCTGTGTGACTCCGGTCCGCAGTGCTTTGTGCCACATCGCTTGCCGGTCGACTTCGGTCCCGGTGCACTCCTGAGCTCGCCGGTCGACTTCGGTCCCGGTACTCAGGCATGGCACAGAGCTCGCTGTGTGACTCCGATCCGCAGTGCTTTGTGCCACATCGCTTGCCGGTCGACTTCGGTCCCGGTGCACTCCTGAGCTCGCCGGTCGACTTCGGTCCCGGCGCTCAGGCACGACACAGGGCTAGCTGCGGGACCCCGGTCCACGGCGCCCTGTGTCACATCGCTTGCCGGTCAACTTCGGTTCCGGTGCACTCCTGAGCTCGCCGGTCGACTTCGGTCCCGGCGCTCAGGCACGACACAGGGCTAGCTGCGGGACCCCGGTCCACGGCGCCCTGTGTCACATCGCTTGCCGGTCGACTTCGGTCCCGGTGCACTCCTGAGCTCGCCGGTC